TCAACTTCCGGTTAAAAATGTCAACGTCAATTTTGACATATTTGTAATCGTCGTGAAAAATCCTTTAAAATGAGTCCCAACATGATACGTTTAATTCCAATATTACTCGAGATATAAGCAACTTCCGGTTTGAAATGTCAATGTCATTTTGATATATTCTTAATATTTATAAAATGTCTTAAAATTTGTCATAAAAACAAAAATTTTATAAAAAATTAAAAATTAAGGTTGGTATTAATATTTAAAAATTAAATTGTTGCTAACTTCCGGTTTAATGTTTTTATTCTAACTTTTTTGTTTTTTCAGATAAATGTGTCATGTTTGGACTCATTTTAAAGGTTATTTTATAAAGATTACGAATATAACAATAAAATTAAAGTTGACATCAACACCTGAAAGTTTTTTTCTTAACCGTGCGTCGCAACTGTTTCAAAAAACATCAAATACAAGATTCCTTATTAATTGTGTCGCATTTTTTGACGACATTTGCTTGATTATATTGTTGTTTGTTTCGTTGCTATGACAATCAGCATTATTTATCAAATCATATGGTTGTATAAGAAAAAAATCGAGATAAAATGCGTTCTCTGAAAATACTAAATTAACAAATTACAATCAAAGTAGGCGTCGGAATAACGCCGTTGACAGCTTTAAACGTCAAAAATTAACAGTTTAAACAAATATGGCGTAATTAAGTGAACGACGGACGGCAGAAAACATTTTTTTTGACATTTATAGCTGTCAACGGCGTTATTTCGGCGCCTACTTTGATTATGATATGCTGACTTTTCAGAAAATGCTTTTTTTTTGATTTTTTTCTTATGCAAGCATATAATTAGATATGTGTATTGCATAGAAACATTTTTATAAAAATAAAATAAATGGCGAAGTTATTGGCTATATTCCATATACATTTGACACACCCTGTAAAAAAATAACTTACCAAAAATATTAAAAACCCAAAAACGCACCACCTCATTTTAAAAAATAATTTTTTACAGTTACTCACACAAAACAAACTTAATTCACATCACTTTTAACATTTATATACCACCCCACTACCGTCTATTTTCCATCAACCCATTTTCAAATAACAAAAAGATTGAGCCATAACCATTAACATTGAAAACAATTTCTGTTTCGAATACAAATTAGCAGATAAATAAAAAAAAATTATCGATAACAATTCAATTATGAAAGTAATGAGGGTATTTTTTAATCCTAAATTACATTAACCCAATTTCGACCATTTCAAATAATCATTCTTAGTAGGTTAAATTTTTTTAAATCAATCTCCAACAAATAAATAGTTAAATTTGGGTCAAAACTCACTTTCTTTGGTTAAATTACGTAAAAAAATCTAATTAAAATTCGATTCGCGTTATATACCTATAAATGGGGGGTTCCATTGAATTTAAATTGAAAAATTGATCCCTTTTTATTCATTTATTTAACACTGAATTAACTCTTAACTCGTTAACGCTTAAACTTAAAGAAGTAGTAACTTATCGGAAGGCACTTAATAAAGGAATCTTTATCTTAATTTTCTTCCCTTTAACTAATTAATTCAATTTTAACCCAACTTAATCTAAAAATCATTTTGGTTTTATATAATAAAATTAATCCATCTTAATTTAATCGTCAAACTCATCTTCTTCGCTCATTTCACCTTCAATTTTAACTTTGTGTCTCGCCTCGTGATTCTTACAATGATCGGCTCTTGTAAATGTTTTTCCACAAACCCGACATGAAATGTTCTTGCTAACGCAATGCGTGTACATGTGGCCCCTCCAATTTAAAGTATTCAATATCGCCTTGTGACAAATCGGACAATGACTTTTTTTAAGCTTTAAAAAAACTTTTAAAAAGTACTCGATATCTTCAACAGAAAACGTTCTTTGTTTTCGAGGGGTGTGCTCAATTTTCGCGTGCATAACAAGCTCATCCATTGAAGGGAACGCTTGTTTACATAATTGGCATGGATTTCCTTTTGATTTCGATGGGGCGAGATTGTGATTATCCAAATCGTTTCCATTTTCATCGTTTTGCAGCGTTAATTTCGCCTTTTTCATCGTCGGTTCATTCAAATCGGGCGGTTTTGACGTTCGATTTTCCTTTTGGAATTCATCTTTTATATTAAACTGCTCGAACATTTTTCTTTTACGTCGTAAAGGTCGCATTGAAAACGTTTTTAAGCTCAAAGATTAAAACTTAAATGGTTTCATGTAAACATAACCTCTAAAAAAATTATTTCTATTTTTAGCGGATCGGGGTTAAAACGAGGGGTCGAATTAGCGCCTTTTTATGAGGAAATTGATACTTACTTGAATAATAACGAGGAATTGTTGTTAGAACGCGAAAATAATTAAAAATTAAACGAAAAATAATAAAATAATAAGCGTAAATAAGAGTGACAAGTGACAAGTTTTTGTTGTCAAGCTATCATGTTGCCAACTGTAAAATAAAAAAAATTCTTATTTTTTTATATTTTAATTTGATTTTAGCCAAAAAAAAATTTCTTTAAAACAAATTTTGATTTAACGCATTAAATAAGCTTAAAATGCGTTAAATAATTAAATAAATTAGGCTTCTTTAAATAAAAAATAATTATTTTAAAAACTGCGCCATCTATTTTTAAAGTCACGAATTAAATGATTTTGAGGTTAGGATGCTTAAGGAAAATTATTTGTGTAATTCGGATTTTTGATGGACAAATCCAAACAAAAATGATAAGTTATTATCACGCTTTAATCAAAAATCGAACTAAGATAGTATAAAAAGAGCAGCGTATAAAATACTTTACACCGTAACCACATAACAACAATCTCCTATACAATCGTAATGAGTGAATGTATTTATTTTGTTGTGTATAAAATTGACTAGTTTTGTTGAAAACCAAACCAAATTCTACGAGTTTGGAAGAAACGTTAAAAAAATGTAAATATAAGACCTCGTAGAATTAAAATAAAATTAATACTTAAGCGTTGGTGAAAAAAGAACAAAATTGTTAATCTTTAAGTACTTTGGCGGTATAATTCAAGAATCATCGTGTCGCTTATATGGTTAGAAATAAAAAAAAAATGCGGAAAAGTGTTAAACTTACCGAAAAATCACTTTAAAGTTTCAACGTGACGTCACTTTTTGGTTAAAACGCATATTTTCGGGTGGAATACACCGAGCAAAGGGTGGGTTACTAATTTTACACTATCACTAGAACTAACACAAGACCTAGAACTAGAATCAATCAGGTTTAGCCGTCTTAACAGACGTGCGGCTAAACCCGAATGTTTCTAGTTCTAATGCTAGTGGTAGTTATAGTTGTTCTTTCACTGAACTAAAACTAGAACCTACACTAAACATAGAACAAGATTTTTAGGTGATAAAATTTTAAATTTGACGTTTCACATTGACAGTGTTGATATTACGATTTTAGTGATTTTGTAAATTAGGAGAATTGACATAAAAAAATTTAATGACAGCCAAAAATGTAAATTAACTTTTCACCTTTGAAATTAAAAAAAAAAGGTTGTTTTTCATTTACATTATGTTTTAGACCATCCAAAATGATAAATAGAAAAGATTTGCGGAACGTGTTTCTCTTTTCTAGGCGAAAATTCCAAACTACCTCTTTATGTATCCTTTTTACTAAATTATAAATATCTAGGTAATTTGACCTTACTGTTAAAATACGTTAAAATGTATAAAAAGTTATAAAATAACAGCAAGGAAGGTTACAACGTTGTGTTATGGTATATGGCACCAAAAACGTATGACATTTCTGGTAAAATCGACACAATTTTGTTAAAAATAGTTATTTTTAAAAAATTTTACGTACTTCGTTAGCTTTTAAGTTTAGAAAAGTAATCCCGCTCGAAATTTGATTATTCGACGTCCAGTTTAAGAGAAATCCTGCACACCAACTAATCCTGCACGATTTTCTAACCTAACATTGCTGACATTTAGTGCGTTTTTAGAAAACTTTTTACCGTCATTGTAAAAAAATCTAAACGTTTAAAACGTAATCTAAACGTTTTCTCTTTCATCTTTTCATTCCTACACTTGCAATAAATCCTAAAAATAATTAAATTTAATATTAACATTTCCGAATGACACTTTGGTTATTTTTATGTCAAAAATTTTTAGTAAAAGATTAAGACAAGAGATGGCGTCACACACTAAAATGTCAATTTACTAAATCTATCTTATTTTTTTTTGAAAAAACGTTTAGTGCATTTTAATTAACTCAATAACCATTTTGGAGTTAATGTATTATATACTAAACCCGAATGTTTCTATTTCTTGGTTTAAATTTAGGTTAGAACCTAAGTTTTGATTGTTGTATATTTTTACTATATACACTAATTGGTCATGGAGATAATCCTGACATTAATAAAGACTTTGTAAGTGTAAAAAAGCAATAATTGTGATAATTAGTTAATTAGAAATATGAAATACTACCTAGATCCTAATCACTGCTTATATTTATGATCCCGACCAGTAGAAGAAAATACAAATTTTAATAAATATTAATATTTGTAAATGATGCTTCAAAGATAATAAAAAAATAGCATTGCCTGACACCTAGTTTTAAGTTTAATGTTACATAGTTCTAGAATTAGTTGTTATTCAACGCCAGATTGTTGTATATGTTTATTAAACTAAATCCAGAACTAACATTAAACATAGAACAAGATTTTTAGGTGACAGAATTGTAAATTTGACGTTTCACATTGACAGCGTTGATATTACGATTTTAGTGATTTTGTAAATTAGGAGAATTGGCATAAAAAATGTAATGACAGCCGAAAATGTCAATTAACTTAAAAAAGAAAAGGTTTTTTTTTGTTTAAACTGTATTTTAGACCATCTAAAATGATGATCCATTGATAGAAAAGATTTGCGGAAGGTGTTTCTGTCTGAAAACTTCACTTTTCTAGTCGAAAATTCCAAGTTACCTCTTTGTGTATCCTTTTTACTCCATTATTTAATTATTTCTAAAGACGCACGGTTAAACCCATTACTTTCTAGCTCTAGGTCTAGTGTTAGTTCTAATTTTAAATGTTATTTAGCATTAAATTGTGTTATAGTTTTATTGAAAGAAAAGTAGAATTAACACTAGACCTAGAACTAGAATCATTTGGGTTTAGCCAGACGTCTCTTAAGACGGCCTTAGGCTCGTTACTACCATCTTCTGGTTATCTAAGGGATTATTACCACGGTTACGGCTATTTTACGCGCTCTGATTGGCTAGTAGATGGGTTTATCTATAAGATAAATTTAACTTAAAGATGGTAGTAATGGACCTAAGTCGATTTTATGCAATTAACATTCTAAAAATCCGCTTTAACTTTCTGAAAATCTCAAGAAATTGTAAATAAGAGATAAATGAATCATATTTGAACACATTTTAAAGATTTTTTAACAAAGAATACATCATGAAAGAACACCATGAAGTTGTCTATTATATGATAACTAACTTCAGGTTTAAAATGTCAACCTCAATTTTGACATATTTGTAATCTTCATTAAAAATCCTTTAAAATGAGTACAAACACGACATATTTATCTTCAATATTAATAAAGTTAGGAATGTCAACGTCAATTTTGACATATTTATAATTTTTTTGAATAAAATTGAAAGTTTAAACAAATATGGCGCAATTTAGTGGACGACGGACGGCCGAAGACAGCTACCAATGACGAAACTAAATTGAATGTGTCAAACTGGCATTTTATTGATATTTATAGCTGTCAACGGCGTTATTTCAGCGCCTACTTTGATTATAATTAACTAACTTTTCAGAAAACGCTTTGTCTCGATTTTTTGGGTACAAAGTTCGTCAAATTATTGTAAAGTTGGCAAAATTAACAGGGAGTTTTGTTTTATCATGTTTTTAATCATATCACACTGACGTCAGTGATGAAGACGCATAAAAAATGTTTTGGGGTATTTATTTGCCATTTGTTTACCTAGAAAAGGTGTTTTTTTCTATTTGATTAGTTTATAGCACGTTTTTATATAGTATAAAATTTAATTTTGACATATTTGTAATCTTCATTAAAAATCCTTTAAAATGAATACAAACACGACATATTTATCTTCAATATTAATAAAGTTAGGAATGTCAACGTCAATTTTGACATATTTGTAATTTTTTTGAAAAAAATTGAGTTATGGCGCAATTTAGCGGACGACGGACGGCCGAAGACAGCTACCAATGACGAAACTAAATTAAATGTGTCAAACTGTCATTTTATTGATATTTATAGCTGTCAACGGCGTTATTTCAGCGCATACTTTAATTATGATTAACTAACTTTTCAGAAAACGTTTTTTGTCTCGATTTTTTGCGTATAAAGTTCGTTTTCTTTTCTATAATACCTGTCAAATTATTGTAAAGTTGGCAAAATTAACAGGGAGTTTTGTTTTATCATGTTTTTAATCATATCACACTGACGTCAGTGATGAAGACGCATAAAAAATTATTTGGGGTGTTTATTTTCCATTTGTTTACCTAGAAAAGATGTTTTTTTCTATTTCATTAGTTTATAGCACGTTTTTACATAGTATAAAATTTAATTTTGACATATTTGTAATCTTCATTAAAAATCCTTTTCCGTCGATCGTGTATTTATATGATATATAAATGTATACAAAATCATTCATTAATGACACCTATTAATAAACGATTTTCATATAAAAATCTAACATCTAACCTCACTTTTAATGTGTCAAAAATCCAAGGTTTATAGAACATAAGGTTACCTCATTCCCTATGCCTCTGTAGTATCGATTATTACCCCGCAAATTGACGTCACTGGTTCGATACAGTCAGAATAAAAGATGGATACGTGCCAACGTGCCTATACTGTGGTACAGTCTATATAAAATATTTAAACCTCGCATCGTGTTGTCCTTGTTTATAGATATATCTATAAACAAGGGCGTTGTGTTGCTCATAGAACCAGCTACGTCACTGACCCACCTTGCCTCTCAGAGGAGGAGAATCGGTATTGGGTAACCTTATGTTCTATAGACCTTGTCAAAAATCAAAACTTATTGTTGTAGTCTTACCGAATAGATATAGTGGTCGGTTGGGTCGGTATTACAGATTTCATTCAATTGACTACTATATTAGTTCGGTCGGACTTTCTTATTGGGTGATTTTTCATCGATGGATTTTTCTCTATTTTGTTGACAAGACAGTCAACGGAAAAATATTGTAATTAACTCGTATATTAAAATGTGATTAATCATCTCGATAATTAATCGCCTTCATTAATACACTTGTTGGTTAAATAACTATTAAAGTGAGTACAAACACGACATATTTATGTTCAATATTAATGAAGTTATGGTCTACTTCCGGTTAGGAAATGTCAACCTCAGTTTTGACGTATTTGNCGGCCGAAGACAGCTACCAATGACGAAACTAAATTGAATGTGTCAAACTGGCATTTTATTGATATTTATAGCTGTCAACGGCGTTATTTCAGCGCCTACTTTGATTATAATTAACTAACTTTTCAGAAAACGCTTTGTCTCGATTTTTTGGGTACAAAGTTCGTCAAATTATTGTAAAGTTGACAAAATTAACAGGGAGTTTTGTTTTATCATGTTTTTAATCATGTCACACTGACGTCAGTGATGAAGACGTATAAAAAATGTTTTGGGGTATTTATTTGCCATTTGTTTACCTAGAAAAGGTGTTTTTTTCTATTTGATTAGTTTATAGCACGTTTTTATATAGTATAAAATTCAATTTTGACATATTTGTAATCTTCATTAAAAATCCTTTTCCGCCGACCGTGTATTTATATGATTTATAAATGTATACAAAATCATTCATTAATAAATCTAACCTCACTTTTAATGTGTCAAAAGTCAAAACTTATTATTGTAGTCTTACCGAATAGATATAGTGGTCGGTTGGGTCGGTATTACAGATTTCATTCAATTGACTACTATATTAGTTCGGTCGGACTTTCTTAAAGTTTGCCAGTGATAGAATTGGGTGATTTTTCAACGATGGATTTTTCTCTATTTTGTTGAAAAGACAGTCAACGGAAAAATATTGTAATTAACTCGTATATTAAAATGCGATTAATCATCTCGATAATTAATCGCCTTCATTAATACACTTGTTGGTTAAATAACTATTAAAGTGAGTACAAACACGACATATTTATGTTCAATATTAATGAAGTTATGGTCTACTTCCGGTTAGGAAATGTCAACCTCAGTTTTGACGTATTTGTAGTAATCGCCGTGAAAAAATCCTTTAAAATGAGCCCAAACATGATACGTTTAATTCTAATATTACTCGAGATATAAGCAACTTCCGGTTTGAAATGTCAATGTTGTTTTGATATATTCTTAATTTTTATAAAATGTGTTCAAATGTATCACAAAAACAAAAATATAATACAAAAATCAGAAATTAAGGTTGGTATTAATATTTAAAAATTAAATAGTTACCTTCATTGTTGCTAACTTCGCGTTTAACATTTTTTATTCCAACTTTTTTGTTTTTTGAGATAAACGCGTCATGTTTGGGCTCATTTTAAAGGTTATTTTATAAAGAATGCATCATGAAAGAACACCATGAAGTTGCGTCAAACGTTGTAATACATTTTCCGAAGCTACTAAAACGTTAAAAAATTACGAAAAACAATTCTTTTTCAAAAATTATAAGCGATCGTGAAAATTTTTTTAAGTAAAAGTTATGTGAAATTATGCTGTGTACCCAACCCAAGAAAAAAAAATTATAGATTTAAAAAAATAGCGAAATTAGTACTCACATCCGGTATAACCGGAAGTAGAATGAGAATGATTTTATGTCGTAATAATCCGTTCCAACGGCCTAATTATGCATTCCAAATGGTTTTCTTATATCACTAATAATAAAAAAAAATATGGGGGAGAGCCGCTTCTGAAGGACACCCACCCAGTATAATAACTAACTTCCGGTTGAAAATACCAACCTCAATTTTGACATATTTGTAATCTTCATTAAAAATCCTTTAAAATGAGTACAAACACGACATATTTATCTTCAATATTAATGAAGTTATGGTCAACTTCCGGTTAGAAATGTCAATGTCATTTTGACGTATTCTTAATTTTTATTAAAATAAAAGTTTTAAAATTTGTCACAAAAATAAGAAAATCTGAAATTAAGGTTGGTATTAATATTTAAAAATTAAATTGCTACCTTCATTGTTGCTAACTTCGCGTTTAACATTTTTTATTCCAACTTTTTTGTTTTTTGAGATAAATGCGTCATCTTTGGGCTCATTTTAAAGGTTTTCTAATGAAGATGACAAATATGTCAAAATTGACGTTGACGTTTCGAACCGGAAGTGATTGTATTTCCATTAATATTAAAGTTAAATATATCGAGTTTGGACTCATTTTAAAGGATTTTTTATGAAGTTGACAAATATGTCAAAATTTAAAGTTGAAAGTTCGAACTTTTTGTTTTTTTGAGATAAATGCGTCATGTTTGGGCTCATTTTAAAGGTTATTTTATAAAGATTACGAATATAATAACAAAATTAATTAATTGACATTGACAACTGAAAGTCAAAAACATCAAAATTATTTTTAGGCGCATTTTAGGCCCAATTCATAAAATGTGACGTCACATCGAAACTTTAAAGTGATTTTTCGGTACTTTCTTTTTATTTTTAACGTGTAAAAGAAAAGCCACTTGATGATTATTGAATTTTTCCACTTTAAAACGATAAAAATGATATTAAAATGAATTTTCCTACCTTATTTCATTATTTTCTTTTTTACTCAAAACAAAAAGATCAATAAAACTCGTTATCGCTACTATTATAACTGACGGTGTCTTCGTTTTTCAGCGAACCGAGCGAATTTGATATGCTCAAATCGGATATCCGGTAGGAGAGATTGTCATCGCTTCCGTTCAGGTAACGCAGAAAGTCGCTGTTTGGATTCGCTAAAAATAAAGAAATAATAATAGAAAAGACAATTTTTATGTGAAAAGTTAAATTAAAACAAAAATTTTTTAATAATCTCACCCACGTACAAGGAATTTATCACTATTAACCAAAAAAAAAGAATATTTCGTGATTAAAAAATAAAATGGATGAAATATAACCTCAAAAAAATTTTTTTCTCAACTTATTTTACAATTTGATTCTTTTTTGGCTTTCTTTCCAATTTTACTAATCGATGGAAAACTTTTTTTCGATTTCGCGCGTTTCACCTCCTCCAAAGTCGTTTCATCTTCGTCCGTTTTCGATCGGCTTTTTCTACTCGAAGAAGAATCCGTCATCTTCAAATTAGTCTGATTTGCCTCCGAATCATCGATCGATAAATAATCCTCCAAAGCTGATTCGTCATTTTCATCGACACCACTAAAACTATGATTCTCATCAACGTAATGTTGAGTTAATTTGATTTGAGGACAAATATGTCCGTAACTATCTTGTTGAATCACTTCCGTTTTATTTTTTTCACAACCATTTTCCTTTTCAATTTGATTTTCCCTCACCACTTCGTCCTCGCTTAAATTATCTTCGATGTTCATCGTATCTTCGTCGTCTAAAGTCATGTCGGAAACCACTTTTTTTAAGATGTTGCAATCATAACCTCCATCAATCATCTCAACCAACTCATTGGTATCTTCGGAACTAACGTGTTTCGTGTTATCATTTATTTCTAAAGGTGTAATCTCACTTCTCCCAACGAAAAAATCAACTTTATTCACAACGTTCGATGAATCACCATCTTGATTTGAACTATTTTGAGTTTTAAATTTATTTTCGTCCTCTTCTTCGTCGCCGACATCTTCAATTATTGACTCGAAATCTTTATCTTTCGAGTTTGCACTGAATGAATTCGTTTTTGTGTCTTCTGACGTTTTATTGTTACTTTCATCGGCGTCTTCTTCAATGTCGGATAAAAATTTTTGATTTGTTTTTGAGTTTTGACTTGTTGAATCGGAGTCTGAAATAACGTAAGAACCCGCACTTGAGGTGCTTGCGATGCTAAATGATTTTGGGGTCGACGATTTTTGCTCAACTTGCGTCGTGATTACACCGTGGCGAGGTGTTTCTGAGCCAAAATTCGATTCTGATAGGTTAAAATCGCTACGATATACATTAAATTGATTGATGTTGTCAAAAACCTAAAAAAAAAAGATTTTATTTCATTAAATTAATTTTTATTATTTAATTTATTACTTTTTGAACGCCTTCTTGGACGTTTGTTATCTCAACTATCTTTAGTTTATGTTTACTTTCCGTTCCATTGTCGAGGATTGATTCCAAAGTGCGATCAGAAGAAACTTCGCTTATTTCGATGCATTTAGCAGCCTCATCGGAAATCTGAATCGTACTGATTGTCGGTTCTACCGTGAAAAAAACAACTTCCGAGTCTGCCATAACTCGATTAAAACCCGTTGGGTTTTGATCCGTGTTAATTTCTTCAATATCTTCCTCTTCGTTCAGCGTTTTTTCGCTCTCCCCGTTTTTAACTAAACTCTCTTCCATCGAATCCGAACCGGAGGTGTAAGAACTGCTTAAATTGGACGGGCCCGAAACACAACTGTACGATTTATTTTTAACATATTCACTTTTCGATTCCGTTTCAATCGGAATCGGGTTTTCGATCGCGTCTTGGTACTCGTAGATGCTGCGAGTGTCATTTTCGCTTAATTCTTCGATGGGGGTTAAAGGGGTGAAATCTTCGGCTTGATTTTCAGCTAAAATGAGTCAAATTTGGTCAAAAAGAACTTACCCAACAAATTACGCTATTTTTTTAGTGTGACGGGAAAAACGACGTATAATTAAACACTTAATTATTAAAAAAATGACAAGAAATTAATTAAAACGCGAAAAGAAACAGATTCTGTCAAAAAATCGAATTGAAAGGAAGGGATGCCAACCTCAATTTTATCCAAATCAAAAAATTACTAGTTTTCTAAGAAATATTAATATTATTGATTTTAAATTAAAATTGTTATTAAGTTAAACAATTGGAGTAATCTTTACGTTAATAAACCAAAAAATTTTGATAATCATTTTTAACCTCAACCCAAGTTTGATTAAAACGAAGATTACTTCAAAAAAACATTTTGAATCGATAAAAACTAATTACGTACCAAGGAGTGACTAAAACGGAATGGATTCTTGATGAATAAGCACAATTAAACACTTAATTATTATAAAAATGTTAAGAAATTAATTAAAACGCGAAAAGAAACGGTTTCTGTCAAAAAATCGAAATGAAAGAAAGGAATGCCAACCTCAATTTTATCCAAATCAAAAAATAACTAGTTTTATAAGAAATATTAATTATAATCGATTTAAAATTAAAATTGTTATTAAGTTAAACAATTGGAATAATCTTTATGTTAATAAACCAAAAAATTTGGATAATCATTTTTAACCTCAACGCAAGATTAATTTAAACAAAGATCACTTCAAAAAAAAATTTTGAATCGATAAAAACTATTTACATACCAAGGAGTGACTAAAACGGAATGGATTCTTGATAAATAAGCACAAATAGACACTTAATTGTTATAAAAATGATAAGAAATTAATTAAAACGCGAAAAGAAACGGTTTCTGTCAAAAAATCGAAATGAAAGGAAGGGATGCCAACCTCAATTTTATCCAAATCAAAAACTAACTAATTTTCTAAGAAATGTTAATAATGAAATTATTGATTTAAAATTAAAATTGTTCTTAAGTTAAACAATTGGAGTAATCTTTAGGTTAATAAACCAAAAAATGTTGATAATCATTATTAACCTCAACACATGATTAATTTAAACAAAGATTACTTCAAAAAAGAATTTTGAATCGATAAAAACTAATTACATTCCAAGAAGTGACTAAAACGGAATGGATTCTTGATGAATAAGCACAATTAAACATTTAATTATTAAAAAAATGACAAGAAATTAATTAAAACGCGCAAAGAAACTGTTTCTGTCAAAAAATCGAAATGAAAGGAAGGGATGCCAACCTCAATTTTATCCAAATCAAAAAATAACTAGTTTTATAAGAAATATTATTGATTTAAAATTAAAATTGTTATTAAGTTAAACAATTGGAGTAATCTTTATGTTAATAAACCAAAAAATGTTGATAATCATTTTTAACCTCAATGCAAGATTGATTAAAACAAAGATTACTTCAAAAAAGAATTTTGAATCGATAAAAACTAATTACATACCAAGGAGTGACTAAAACGGAATGGATTCTTGATGAATAAGCACAATTAAACACTTAATTACTATAAATATGATAAGAAATTAATTAAAAAGCGAAAAGAAACCGTTTCTGTCAAAAAATCGAAATGAAAGGAAGGGATGCCAACCTCAATTTTATCCAAATCAAAAATTAACTAATTTCCTAAAAAATATTAATAATAAAATTGATTTAAAATTAAAATTGTTAATAAGTTAAACAATTGGAGTAATCTTTATGTGAATTAACCAAAAAATTTTGATAATCATTTTGTTGAGATAAAATGTCAAAGTTTTTCCCGTCACAAAAAAAGTAATTTAGCTACTCACTTATAGATGGCGCTGATTCAAAAATTTTAGTATTATCTCCAACACAACATTTTTTCTTCTCCAAATCGATTTCCGGTGGAGAATAATACTTGGATGTGTCCAATTCGGTATCATCAGACGAAACATTCTCTTCATCAATCGATTTAAAGTTATCTAATTCAGAATCGTTTCCAACATTTCCATCGAAATCATCTTTCGAATACAACGCAACGTTCGAATCCGATTTTGAATCTTTTGAGATAAGAAATTGGTCGTTATCGGTGATACTTTCCGTGGAAACATTTTTTTTCGGCTCATTTTCACAAACGAGTTTCTCAATGGGGATAGTTTCCAAAAAGTGTTTCTTATTCGATTCCTTTTTATCATAAAAACGATTAATTTTATGTTGCACGTTATAATTAGAAGGCCCCGGTTCCGAATATGACTCATTTTGATTAATTATATCTTCCGCAAACGAAACATCCGGGAGTTTAATCGATAATTCAATCATTTCCGGGTCGATTAAAAATGTGTTTGAATCCGTTTCATTTTTATTTTTGTGATCGTTTTCGTCCATAAACATAATTTTATCCGAAAAGATCACCTTTTTCGAAGACTTCGTTTTTTGAATCTCATTTTGGACAAATTCATCTTCGTTTTCATCGAAATCGTTTTTATACAGCGAATGAATTTTCTTCTTCTCACCAAATTCGATTTTTTTTGTGTCATCATCCTCGATGCTTTGTATTTCCGCAACGGTGTCGTCCTCTTCACCGGAATTATCCGATAATCCAAACTCGGTTAAATCGATTAATCCGGAATTTAACGATGGGTGCACGATTAAACTGTCGTTTAAACTCGATTCGTCTTCGGTTTCCGAAAAACGTTTCGATTCCATTATTTGCTTACCTATATCATTTTCTGAATCGGTTAAAGTCGGATTTGAAATTGACGAAGATACGTTTAATTCGATTTTTTTATCGGAATCGGCTAAAATCGGGGTTGAATCGATTTGGGGGGGGATGAAATCGGAGTGTTTCGTTTTTGTTACGTCAACGGAGCGGCTTCGGGTTTTTTCGGGAATCTTCGGTTGGTCCGATTTTTGAATTACTTTTTTGACAGGTAATTGGGAGTTATTTTCCAGCTTTTTTATCGGGGTTGTTTTACGAGTTAAAGAATTAACTTCAGGTGTTGTTTTTGACGATTTTTTTGTTAAATTTGAACTCGTTTTTTCCACCAAACCCGAATCAGTCCGTTTTAATTTTTCAATCCCCTTTTTATTATTTTTATTATCCTTATTAACATCTTTACAACCAATCTCCTTACTTTTAAAACCTTTCTTTTGAACATCTTGATTTTTAATTAACTTTTTAAAATCTCTTTGTGATTCGAGACTTATTTTCGATTCATTTCCGCTTAAATATAACGTGGAATAATTTTTATTCTTTTTCGATTTAAAATCGACTTTTTCCTTTTGATTTTTGGTTTTATCTTCATCGCAAATTATTTCTGGTACCTTTTCGGTTTGGCTTGATGATGGTTGGGGGCAAACCCCCTCGCTAGAAGAAAATAACTCGCTTAAATTATCGTTCGTTACCGAATCCACCTCAATAACGCTCGAAGTTAAATTTAAATCCAATTCGTTAACTTCTTTAGTTTCGAAATCCTCCTTAAAATGACTCGTCGAGCCTTCATTTTCGTGTTTTTCACAATTTCCTTCGCTCGGAGTTTGAATTCTAGGTAAATTTATAGTTAATTTCCGCTTTTTACTCGTTGAGACATCCTCTTCCTCCGATTCCTATTAAAACAAAAAAATTAATACCCCTATATCAGTTTTGAGTCTTAGTAATGTCTTTAAAATCTTAGTAATGGGCCATAAAGACTAGATCCATAACAAGATTGGACCCAATTAATACCATTTTTTATTTATAACCTCTAAATCGATTAAACATCAAAATTGTTGATTTTCGAAAATTAACTCAATCATAACTCAAAAACTAAAAGCGATGGAGAAAAACTTTTTGTACATAAAACCTTAGTAATGGACCATAAAGACTAGATCCATAAAAAAATTGAACCCAATTATTACCATTTTTTATTTATAAGCTCTAAATCGATTAAACATCAAAATTGTTGATTTTCGAAAATTAACTCAATCATAACTCAAAAACTAAAAGCGATGGAGAAAAACTTTTTATACATAAAACCTTAGTAATGGACCATAAAGTCTAGATCCATAAAAAGATTAAACCCAATTATTACCATTTTTTATTTATAAGCTCTAAATCGATTAAACATCAAAATTGTAGATTTTCGAAAATTAACTCAATCCTAACTCAAAAACTAAAAGCGATGGAGAAAATCTTTTTATACATAAAACTTTAGTAATGGACCATAAAGAATAGATCCATAAAAAGATTGAACCCAATTATTACCATTTTTTATTTGTAACCTCTAAATCGATTAAACATCAAAATTGATTTTCGAAAATTAACTCAATCATAACTCAAAAACTAAAAGCGATGGAGAAAAACTTTTTATACATAAAACCTTAGTAATGGACCATAAAGACTAGATCCATAAAAAGATTGAACCCAATTATTACCATTTTTTATTTATAACCTCTAAATCGATTAAACATCAAAATTGATTTTCGAAAATTAACTCAATCATAACTCAAAAACTAAAAGCGATGGAGAAATATTTTTTATACATAAAACCTTAGTAATAGACCTATAAAAATAACAAATAAAATTTTAACCTGAATTTTCTCCGTCAAGAGTTCCTTGGTTAAACGAGTCCAAACATTTCCCGTTTTCCCCCCTTTTTTAATGTCCAAAACGCCTCCTCTCCGCCTTAAATCGCAAGATATTTCGGGATCATCGCTATTTCCCCCCAATTTTGGGTCATCATCAACCTTCCCAATGCTTTCAATCAGCTCTAAACCGTTTTCCTCTTCATCATTAACACTCCGGCTTTCGTTGGAGTTTATTCGCTCGTTAAAATAAATCAATGTGTCATCTCTAGGTGGCGCGGGGCGTCTCCCGGAAGTCTCCCCATCATTATCATCTTCATCCTTTTTATTTTTAATTTCAGGAACGCACCAATAAGTGGGATAACATCGAAAATACTTATTTGATTCTTGATTAATAAATAAAGGATTTGTATGGAACGAGGTTAAAACTTTGTGTAAAAGTTCCCGATCGATTTGAGGCGCTTTAACACTCTTTTGAGACAAAGATAAAGAATCATCCCCGGAGTCATCGACTTTACTCCCATCGACGAAAGTCGAAACGATCATTCGTTTCCGGTTCGATTTTTTCTCATCTTTTCTTAATTTATCTTCGTACGAATTACTTTTCATTAAATTTTTCGCTTTTTTAGTGTCCCTCCGTTTTGGGATGGCCCCCCTACTGCGTAAACTCGGCTCGCTTTTTGGTTCTAATCTTGCGGAACTTGGGGGGATAAATTTTTCGTTTTTGAACCTCGTGGGGGATTTGATTTTGATTTCTTCAATTCGGGTTGAAGATAATTTTTTTTGCGCGGATCTTGAAGATGAGTTATCGAGCCAATACATTAATTTCTCCTCGGATATTGAATCGACGGAATCTGTGATTTCAACCTCGCCGTTTTTTAGGTTCAAAATTGAGGCGATGTAAGGTTCGCATTTGGGGCTAACCATCCCGTGGAAAATCATGTACGCGTTTTCACTATTTATTTCGAAAGAATTGTTTAAAAATGCGTATAAACAGCGGTTATTTGAGAATCCTTTTTTCGCTAAAACTTTGTTTACTGAGTCGCGCATAACTTCAATAGGAATTTCAGGTTCTCGAACTCCTTTTGATTCTAATAAATCGTTATTGAATTGCTTGCAAATTAAGCAACGTTCGAAATGGTCTTTAAAATCATGTTCGATTTTGATTTTTTGATTTTTTAATTTTTTATTTGTCGCTTTCGGGGATCGACTCGGACTCACCACGACCATTTCATTGTCGTCCATATCGGTTTCGAAATCGTATTTAAACGAGCACATAGCGCGTTGTTGCTTTTCTTGGAATTTAATTAAATGTTCTTGTGAGGGATTTTGCTTCTTCCGGAAATTATCGACGGAGCGTTTAATTAATTTTCGATAATCTTCTTCGGAATAAATCGTTTTTAACGCTAAAGACATGTCGGATTGGCTTCCATGTAATTCGTGGCACGAATATGACGCAATTTCAGTTTCTGGGTCAACCGAATATAATCGAGTTTTGTGTTTTTTCTTCGGCGGGGGACCCCCCGTACATTGTTCTTCTTTTGTGTCAAATTTAACGTAAACGTTTCCCATCCAATCTTTAAATTCTGATTCCGTTTCGGCTTTATCCAGTTTTATATCGAACATGTGTTCTAATTCGAATTTATCCGGGTTATTTACCATGGTTATATCGGTTTGGAAATGGCGGCGCTTTCCACGATTGGGGCGAGGAGTTAAGGATCGTATGCTCGTTCGGAGGGTTTTAACTTCATTAAGGATATCTATCGGAAAATTTACGAGGATTTAGGATTTTTTGGGAATTATTTAGTTACCTTTACAGTTGGACCCTTGAAGGTGAATCGGATGACTTGCTAAAATGATAGCGAGGCATTGAGCGACGCTTGGATTCGGGGCGCAACTTAAAGCTGGAGTTAACCCCGTTGAATCGACGGCCAAAACGGACGATCCTTTCGCTATCAACATCCTTGTTACGTTAACTAACCCATTTCTTGCGGAAATATGTAAAGGACTAAAAAATACGGTGTTTATTGTAATTATGTTGTAACCAACTTACGTCCTCCTTTCGTTATTGATCATGTTAATCACATTCGGATCATCGATAAAATCCAAAAGAAGTAAAGCGGCGTGATTGTGCTTCTTTAAACAGGCTAAATGGAGAGCGGTGTTGCCATTGACGTCGTATAAAGTCTTATCGGCTTTGGAACCAATTAAATTCACTAAATATAAAAAATTAAATTAATAAAACACATTATATATATTATGTTTCTTAAACTAAATATAGAACAAGATTTTTAGGTTATAAAATTTAAAATTTGACGTTTCACAGTGACAGTGTTGATATTACGATTTTAGTGATTTTGTAAATTAGGAGAATTGACATAAAAAAATTTTATGACAGCCGAAAATGTCAATTAACTTTTCACCTTTGAAACTAAAAAAAAAATGTTTTTTTTCGTTTAAACTGTATTTTAATATATACAGTTTGTATAATACACTTGTAATAAATTTTAATAATAATTAAATTTAATAATAACATTTCCAGATGACAGTTTGATTATTTTTGTCAAAAAAATCGTAGTAAAGGATTAAGACAAGAGATGGCGCCACATACTAAAATGTCAACTAATTTTTCATCTGAAAAAAAAAAAAAAAATTTTTTTTCGTTTAAACTGTATTTTAATATATACAGTTTGTATAATACACTTGTAATAAATTTTAATAATAATTAAATTTAATAATAACATTTCCAGATGACAGTTTGATTATTTTTGTTAAAAAATCTTAGTAAAGGATTAAGACAAGAGATGGCGCCACATACTAAAATGTCAACTAATTTTTCATCTTTGAAACTTAAAAAAAAAAGTTCTTTTCGTTTAAACTGTATTTTAGACCATCTAAAATGATAATCCATTGATAGAAAAGATTTACGGAACGCTTTTTTGTCTAAAAAATTCATTTTTCTAGTTCAAAAATTCCAAACTATCTGTAACGTATTTGTGTATCCTTTTTATTCGATTATATACATCTAGGTATTTAAACCTTACTGTTAAAATAAGTTATAATGCATATAAAGTTTTATAATAACAGCGAGGAGAGTTTTTTGATGTATCTAAAGTTGTCTGTTTTACAACCATTTTTATGTATGTTTTTTATCAATAAATATGACATTTATAATCAAATCGGGACCATTTTGTGAAAAATGAATATTTATAATACACTTGCAATAAATTCTAATAATAATTAAACTTAATATTAACATTTCCAGATGACAGTTTGATAATTTTTGTCAAAAAATCGTAGTAAATGATTAAGACAAGAGATGGCGCCACATACTAAAATGTCAACTAATTTTTCATCTTTGAAACTTAAAAAAAAAGTTCTTTTCGTTTAAACTGTATTTTAGACCATCTAAAATGATAATTCATTGATAGAAAAGATTTACGGAACGCTTTTTTGTCTAAAAAATTCATTTTTCTAGTTAAAAATTCCAAGCTATTTTTAACGTATTTGTGTATCCTTTTTATTCGATTATATACATCTAGGTATTTTAACCTTACTTTTTTAAACAAGTTAAAATGTATATAAAGTTATATAATAACAGCAGGACAAGTTTTTTGATGTATCTCAAGTTGTCTGTTTTACAACCATTTTTATATATAGTTCGTTTTTTTTCTATAATACTTGTCAATGTAAATTATTTAGGGTTTCTGTTGGTATTATCTAGGACCCTTATAAAATTTATGTTGTTTTCATGGTTTTTAGTAACATTTTCAGTAACTATTTAGTTGAGGTTAAAATACTAATACATTTTTAGGTAAATACGATTTTCACGAAGTACATATTTGTTGTAAAAACATGCTACAAAGTAATTAATAGAATAAAATACCTTTTCTAGGTAAATAAATGGCAAATAAACACCCCACAACACTTTTTATTCACCTTTTCTTTTTGAATAAGGAAAGCTCAAACGTCAATGTGACATATTTACTTCAAAACATGATAAAACAAAACTCCCTATTAATTTTGCCAACTTTACAACAATTGGACAGGTATTATAGAAAAAAAATGAACTATATGTTTTTTATCAATAAATATGACATTTATAATCAAATCGGCACCATTTTGTGAAAAATGAATATTTATAATACACTTGTAATAAATTCTATTAATAATTAAATTTAATAATAACATTTCCAGATGACAGTTTGATTATTTTTGTCAAAAAAATCGTAGTAAATGATTAAGACAAGAGATGGCGCCACATACTAAAATGTCAACTAATTTTTCATCTTTGAAACTTAAAAAAAAAGTTCTTTTCGTTTAAACTGTATTTTAGACCATCTAAAATGATAATTCATTGATAGAAAAGATTTACGGAACGCTTTTTTGTCTAAAAAATTCATTTTTCTAGTTCAAAAATTTCAAACTATCTGTAACGTATTTGTGTATCCTTTTTATTCGATTATATATATCTAGGTATTTAAATCTTATTTTTTTAAACAAGTTAAAATGTATATAAAGTTATATAATAACAGCAGGGCAAGTTTTTTGATGTATCTAAAGTTGTCTGTTTTACAACCATTTTTATATATGTTTTTTATCAATAAATATGACATTTATAATCAAATCGGCACCATTTTGTGAAGAATGAATATTTATAATACACTTGCAACAAATTCTAATAATAATTAAATCTTAATATTAACATTTCCAGATGACAGTTTGATAATTTTTGTCAAAAAAATCGTAGTAAATGATTAAGACAAGAGATGGCGCCACATACTAAAATGTCAACTAATTTTTCATCTTTGAAACTTAAAAAAAAAGTTCTTTTCGTTTAAACTGTATTTTAGACCATCTAAAATGATAATCATTGATAGAAAAGATTTACGGAACGCTTTTTTGTCTAAAAAATTGATTTTTTCTAGTTCAAAAATTCCAAACGATCTGTAACGTATTTGTGTATCCTTTTTATTCGATTATATATATCTAGGTATTTAAATCTTACTGTTAAAATAAGTTATAATGCATATAAAGTTTTATAATAACAGCAAGGAGAGTTTTTTGATGTATCTAAAGTTGTCTGTTTTACAACAATTTTTATGTATGTTTTTTTATCAATAAATATGACATTTATAATCAAATCGGCACCATTTTGTGAAAAATGAATATTTATAATACACTTGCAACAAATTCTCATAACAATTAAGCTTAATATTAACATTTCCAAATGACAGTTTGATTATTTTTATGTCAAAAAATCATAGTAAAGGATTAAGACAAGAGATGGCGCCACATACTAAAATGTCAATTAACTTTTCACTTTTGAAACTTAAAAAAAAGGTTTCTTTTTTGTTTAAACTGTATTTTAGAGTATCTAAAATGATAATCCATTGATGGAAAAGATTTGCGGAACTCTATGTGTATCCTCTTTATTCGAAAATAAATTAAAATGCATAATCCAGAAATGCATAAAAAGTCATATAATAACAGTAAGGATAGTTATAACGTTGTGTTTTAGTTTATGGCACCAAAAACGGTTTCGATATTGCCGACCAATGCAACTAAAGAAGCTCGTAGAAGCGTATTGTCAGACAGATTAACTGCAGAATTGTGTTTTTAAGTTAGTATCATCTTATTCTAGAATAGTATGTAGCAATTTTTCCCTGTATCTTATTCGTGTGTATTTTACAACCATTTTTATGTATGTTTTTTATCAATTATCAATAAATATGACATTTCTGGTAAAATCGGAACCATTTTGTCAAATATGATTATACTTCGTTAGCTTTTGAGTTTAGAAAAGTAATCGTGCTCGAAATTTGATTACACAACGTCTGGTTTAGGAAAAATCCTGCACACCAATTGACACTGCACGATTTGTTAACCTAAAATTGCTGACATTTAGTGAATTTTTAGAAAACTTTTTTCCCCTCATTGTAAAAAAATCGAAACGTTTAAATCGTAATCTAAAAGCTTTCTTTTTCATTTTTTCATACATACACTTGCAAAAAATTCTAACAACAATTAAATTTAATATTAACATTTCCGGATGACAGTTTGGTTATTTTTATGTCAAAAAATGTTAGTAAAAGATTAAGACAAGAGATGGCGCCACATACTAAAATGTCAATTTACTTAATCTTTTAACAGATTTTTTTTGAAAAATCGTTTAGTAATTCGTTAGTTTTTGAGTTTAAAAAAGTAATCGTGATCGAAATTTGATTATTCGACGTTCCGTTTAAAGAAATCCCGCACAATTTTCTAACATAACATTGCTGACATTTAGTGCGTGATTTTTCCGTCATTGTAAAAAAAATCGAAACGTTTAAATCGTAATCTAAAAGTTTTCTTTTTCATTTTTTCATTCATACACTAGCAATAACTTGTAACAATAATCAAATTTAATATTAAGATTTCAATGAATGAGTTTGATTATTTTTATGTCAAAAAATTTTAGTAAAAGATTAAGACAAGAGATGGCGCCACATACGAAAATGTCAATTTCCTTAATCTCTTAACAGATTTTTTTTTCTTTGAAAATACATTTTCAAATACATTTTGGAATTAATGTATTATTTACCAAACCCGAATATCTCCAATTCTTGGTTTAGATTTAGGTTAAAACCTAAGTTTAGTTCTAGTATATTTTTACTTAAACTTTATTTTAATTTAAATTAATTACCCATAACTTCTATTTGGCCATTCATCGCAGCAACCATCAACGGAGTCCGCCCATCCTCGTCCTTAACATTAATTTCGGCGCCCAAATTTAAAAGATATAAGGCACAGTCCGAATGGCCATGAATTGCAACGACGTGCAGAGGCGTGCGACATTTCATGTCTTTGAATTTGACCGTTTCGGGGCCGAATTGCTTGTAAAGGAGGTCGATGCATTGTTCCGATCCAGCAGAACTAAAAATTGCTTATTCAATTTATTAAAATAATAAAAAATTTAACGTACGCTGCACAATGAATAGCCGAAAATGGGTTCCCTTCGAGACAATCAAAAACACCTTCTTTAAAAAAATGAGCCACACACTCAAAATTACCTAGAAAAAAATTTTAAATCAAAACTTTGAGGTTGTTTTTTAAAAATGTTATTTACCCGTATAACAAGCCCATTGTAAAGATGTAAAATTTTGTTTATCGCACGCCTTAGCTATAGTTGGCTCCATATATGGTAAAATCCGCTGGGTGCAAGCCAACTTTCCGTATGCAGCGGAAACGTGCAAAATCGTTTTTCCGTTTGAATCGGGGGTGTTTACAACCGTACTTCGTGGAAGTAGCATATGTAAAACGCTATGTTGACCCGTTACAACCTCAAAAAAGAATACTTATTAAAAATAAATTTAAAAAAAAATGAGTAAATAAGTTACAGCTCGAAACAAACACGAATGCCCATCTTTATCTAAAACATTAGGATCCGCCCCTGATTTTATTAAAGTCGTAACACAATCTATGTGTAAATTTGAAACGGCTAACATCAAGGCAGTGCGTTGTAAACTAAAAAATAATTATTATTAATAGCTCATTATATGTGAGTATTTATTATAATACTATACTTTGTCCACGACTACTGTTGAAATTGATTCCATAAATTTATTTTTTTAAGTAAATTTTTGAATAAAGATTAAACGTCAATGTGACACAAATTCAATGTTACCAACTGTAACCAACTTCACAATAAATGTCAATGTTATGAAACGTCATGATTTTTATAAACATTAATTAATTTATGTTCAAATTATACGAAAAAAGGAATTTGTTTACTTTTTTTATATCAAACCGATTCATAAGAAGCGATCTCGCTTGAAACGAGAGTTAAATAAATTTCTTTTAATGAGACCCATAGGAGATAGCGCCATCTTCCGAAAAAAGCCTTAAAATATACGTTTGTAACTATCTTCGCATCAAGTCAAATATTTTAATTTAATTTAGAACCAAGATAAACACGAATTACTATTTGATTTTCATTATAACGCAAAACGTGTACCAGTGAGTAAAATGCAAATTTCTTTTTAGTTTTATTTCTAAAACTGAGTGAGTTAAATAAATTTTTTTAACGAAACGTCAAAAAAATGTCATTTGAAAAAGTGAGGTTAGGTTGTGTTGGAAAAGTGTGATTAAAAACCCTCAACATCATTTTCTAGCACAACTTTAAACTAACACGGCCGTTTTCGAAGACATCGGCCGCCCCCGGCCATTAAAACATTGAAAACCTTGAGTAAACATTTCGTATTCTTATTTTCTTTTATAACTCAATAATTATAACCGATGGAAAACAATATTTCATATAAAAAAGGTTTAAAATATTATGTTATTCTAATCCATAGATCAGGAGTACCAACCCAACCCAAGAATAATAGAAATTTTTACATTTTTAACAATTATCTTGTATAACTCAATAATTATAACTGATGGAAAAAAACATTTCATACAAAAAAGGTTTAGAATTAACCCATAAAACATATCCAATAAGTTATTTTAATCCATTGGTCAGTAGTACCAACCCAACTTAGAAATAAAACCAAATTTAAATGTTTTTGACAGTTTTCGGTTATAACTTATTAATTATGAATGATGGAAAATTACTTTTTAAACAAAAAACGTTTAGAATTAACTCATAAAACGTATTGCATAAAGATATTTATTCCATCAAACAGTATTACCAACCCAACTTAAGAAAAATTGAAATTTGACGTTTTCAACAATTCTCTTGTATAACTCAATAATTATAACCGAGGGAAAAAAATGTTTAATACAAAAAAGGTTTAGAATTAATCTATAAGACATATTCAATAAGTTATTTTAATCCATCGAACAATAGTACCAACCCAACCTAAAAATAAAACCAAATTTAAATGTTTTTGACAGTTTTCGGTTATAACTTATTAATTATGAGTGATGGAGAAATACTTTTTAAATAAAAAACGTTTAGAATTAACTCATAAAACGTATTGCATAAAGATATTTATTCCATCAATCACTATTACCAACCCAACTTACAAAAAATAAAAATTTTGACGTTTTCAACAATTTTCTTGTATAACTCAATAATTATAACCGATGGAAAAAAATATTTAATACAAAAAAGATTTAGAATTAATCTGTAAGACATATTCAATAAGTTATTTTAATCCATCGATCAGCAGTACCAACCGAACCCAAGAAAAATAGAAATTTTGACGTTATCAACAAATAGGGCCGTTAAGTATTTTTTTTATTGGCTTATTCGAAAGTTTTTTAAAATTGATTGACCCTATATTTTTTAATTTTTGATTCTGAGGCTTAGTTTTTCAAAAAAAAAATAATAAAGTTCGAAACTACAAGGCGCGAACTCCAAAGTACGTCACTCAGATTTGAGCGCATAAAAATCAATAAAATTCCTGGAGGGAGACAATGCTACGAATATTATGCTCTAGAAGAAAACAGGAGCTAGCATAACATCTGTAATTTCTTTCTTCTTACTTAAAACGTCATCTGGAGTCGGAGGTGAGGAATTTCAAACTTTTACATTAATTATTGCAAAAATTAAACAATTATCGAACGTCAAACCGTTACTAGTCCGTTTAATTTAATTTAGATTATCGATTTTTTGAAAGACGGTCTTTCTAATCGATTGACCTTAACGGCCCTATTACTCTGTATAACTCAATAATTATAACCGATGGAAAAAAACACTTCATACCAAAATGGTTTAGAATTAACCTTTAATTAAGAAAACGAACTTCTATGACGCAAATTTCTGTTGTTTTATTTCTAAAACTGAGTGTATTAAATAAATTTTTTAATGAAAAGTCAAAAAAATGTCATTTGAAAAAGTGAGGTTAGGTTGTGTTGGAAAAGTGTGTTTAAAAATCCTCAACATCATTTTCTAGCACAACTTTAAACTAACACGGCCGTTTTCGAAGACATCGGCCGCCCACGGCCATTAAAACATTGAAAACCTTGAGTTGGATCTCTACTCGCATTTTATAAGAATGAACATTTCGTGTTCTCGGGGGCGGCCGATGTCTTCGAAAACGGCCGTGTTAGTTTAAAACTGTGCTGGGAAATGTGTTATTTTTGTTTATCTATCTTAGGTTCGTCCCAACCTCACTTTTCCAAGTGACATTTCTTGATGTTTCATGAAAAAAAAATTTATTTTACTCACTCAGTGCGTCCTCGAAGATTTTCTTTCATATTATCCATTCATAAGAAGCGATTTCGCTTGAAACAACCACAAAAATTAAACTCAACCGCCCATAAGATACGAAATATCCATTAAAAACCAACCTAACCTCACTTTTCCAAATGACATTTTTCACAATCATTACTGCTGATGGAATAAGAAATAAAACTAAAACTAGAAATCAAGACGCAGTCAAAGACGCACGGCATAACCTCAAAATTTCTAGTTTTAGTTTTATTTCTAACGCAAAATGAGTTAAATAAATTTCTATTAATGAAACGTCAAAATGTCACTTTAAGACGCATAGGAGATAGCGCCATCTGTCGAAAAAAACCCTAAAATATACGTTTGTAACTAACTTCTCATCATGTCAAATATGTTTTTTTCCAAAAATTAATTAATTTATGCTATATCATACAAAAAAGAGAATTCGTTTATGAATTTTTAATGTCAAACCTTTAGAAAGTCCTAAAAAATTAAATTAAATTGTTTAAATTAAAAGGTTTTTTGAAATTTTGACGTTTCAAATACTTATTATTAGCCTGTCAAGTTGATTACCCGTGAATAATGCCTATAATAAATTAAGGGTAGTCATAAAAATGACTACCTTTTTGTTTTAGAGAACACGTTTATAAGGTACTATATATTATAAGGTAGTCGTGGACAAAAAATTTAAAACATACTTGTCAGGTTGATTAATAATGCTTTTATCTTCAGCATTATCAACTAATAAAGCCAGGCAGTGAACATAACCGTTCTTCGCGCTATGATGAACGGGCGAAAGGCCGGCAACGCTATCACAGATTGAAACTTTGGCCCCAAACCTCAACAACATCTGGACGCAATTCGAGTAACCTTGTCGCGCGGATAACAACAAAGGTGTGCAACCATCCTCGTTGCGGATATTAGGATCGGGAAAATACGGCATTAACGCCTCTAAAATCTCCATGTTTCCATTTTTTGCGGCTATGTGCAACGGCGTCGTTGGAGGCATATCCGCACCGTACAACGGCAACGAATTCAAAGCGACCAACAAAAACCGCAAGGCGTTGATGTTGTTTCCAGCCACAGCGTAATGCACGGCTGTGAAACCTTTGAAATCTTTTAATTTCGGATCCGCTTTGTGTTCAAGAAGATAATTAACACATCTAAAAAGAAATTAAATTTAATTAAGAAACAAATAAAGTTTGGGTTAAGAAAAACTCACTTTCCATCGATATCGTACGCCGAAGCTAAATGTAAAGCGGTGCAACCTTCGTTATCTTGCGCATTCGGATTGCTTCCAGTTCCAACTAAAGTGAAGACGCAGAAAAAATAACCCTGAGCCGAGGCGTAATGTAGCGGAATTCGCCCCAAATTATCTATTGATTTTATATCGGATCCGCTACTCACTAATAAATCGACACATTCCACTGCCCTTTAATTCAAATTAACAAATTAATAAAATAAATATTTAAAAAAATAATAATTAGTACCCTTTATAAGCGGCACAATGCAAAGGGGTCTTCCCCAAATCATCTTTGCAATTTAAATCAACCCCAGCTTTTATAAAGATGCGACAACACTCGATATAACCCGATAAACAACACATGTGTAGTGGAGTTCGACCTTCATACCTAAAAACAATTAAATAATTTATTTATTTAGTTACTCTCAGCACCGGACAAATATAATTTAAGCTATGCCATTAAAAAAAAATACAATACATTTCATACAAAAAAGGTTTAGAATTAACCTATAAAACATAAAACCATAAAACATGTTTTAATCCATCGGTGAGTAGTACCAACCCAACTCAAAAATAAAACCAAATTTTAATGTTTTTGACAGTTTGCGGTTATAACCTATTAATTATGAATGATGGAGAATTACTTTTTAAACAAAAAACGTTTAGAATTAACTCATAAAACGTATTTCATAAAGATATTTATTCCACCAATCAGTATTACCAACCCAACTTAAGAAAAATTAAAATTTGACGTTTTCAACAATTCTCTTGTATAACTCAATAATTATAACCGATGGAAAAAAACATTTCATACAAAAAAGGTTTAGAGTTAACACATAAAACATATCCAATAAGTTATTTTAATCCATCGAACAACAGTACCAACCCAACCCAAAAATAAATCCAAATTTCAATGTTTTTGACAGTTTTCGGTTATAACTTATTAATTATGAATGATGGAGAATTACTTTTTAAACAAAAAACGTTTAGAATTAACTCATAAAATGTATTGCGTAAAGATATTTATTCCATCAATCACTATTACCAACCCAACTTAAGAAAAATTGAAATATGACGTTTTCAACAATTCTCTTGTATAACTCAATAATTATAACCGATGGAAAAAAATACTTAATACAAAATAGGTTTAGAATTAATCTGCAAGACATATTTAATAAGTTATTTTAATCCATCGAACAATAGTACCAACCCAACCCAAAAATAAATCCAAAATTTAATGTTTTTGACAGTTTTCGGTTATAACTTCTTAATTATGAATGATGGAGAATTACTTTTTGAACAAAAAAGATTTAGAATTAACCCATAAAACATATCCAATAAGTTATTTTAATACATCGAACAATAGTACCAACCCAACCCAAAAATAAATCCAAATTTTAATGTTTTTGACAGTTTTCGGTTGTAACTTATTAATTATGAATGATGAAGAATTACTTTTTAAATAAAAAACATTTAGAATTAACTCATAAAACGTATTGCGTAAAAATATTTATTCCATCAATCACTATTACCAACCCAACTTAAGAAAAATTGAAATATGACGTTTTCAACAATTTTCTTGTATAACTCAATAATTATAACCGATGGAAAAAAACATTTCATACAAAAAAGGTTTAGAATTAACCCATAAAATATATCCAATAAGTTATTTTAATCCATCGGTCAGTAGTACCAACCCAACCCAAAAATAAATCCAAATTTCAATGTTTTTGACAGTTTTCGGTTATAACTTATTAATTATGAATGATGGAGAATTACTTTTTAAACAAAAAACGTTTAGAATTAACTCATAAAACGTATAGCATAAAGATATTTATTCCATCAATCAGTATTACCAACCCAACTTAAAAAAAATTGAAATTTGACGTTTTCAACAATTTTCTTGTATAACTCAATAATTATAACCGATGGAAAAAAATACTTAATACAAAATAGGTTTAGAATTAATCTGCAAGACATATTTAATAAGTTATTTTAATCCATCGAACAATAGTACCAACCCAACCCAAAAATAAATCCAAATTTAATGTTTTTGACAGTTTTCGGTTGTAACTTATTAATTATGAATGATGGAGAATACTTTTTAAATAAAAAACATTTAGAATTAACTCATAAAACGTATTGCGTAAAGATATTTATTCCATCAATCGCTATTACCAACCCAACTTAAGAAAAATTGAAATTTGACGTTTTCAACAATTTTCTTGTATAACTCAATAATTATAACCGATGGAAAAAAACATTTCATACAAAAAAGGTTTAGAATTAACCCATAAAATATATCCAATAAGTTATTTTAATCCATCGGTCAGTAGTACCAACCCAACCCAAAAATAAATCCAAATTTCAATGTTTTTGACAGTTTTCGGTTATAACTTATTAATTATGAATGATGGAGAATTACTTTTTAAACAAAAAACGTTTAGAATTAACTCATAAAACGTATAGCATAAAGATATTTATTCCATCAATCAGTATTACCAACCCAACTTAAAAAAAATTGAAATTTGACGTTTTCAACAATTTTCTTGTATAACTCAATAATTATAACCGATGGAAAAAAATACTTAATACAAAATAGGTTTAGAATTAATCTGCAAGACATATTTAATAAGTTATTTTAATCCATCGAACAATAGTACCAACCCAACCCAAAAATAAATCCAAAATTTAATGTTTTTGACAGTTTTCGGTTATAACTTCTTAATTATGAATGATGGAGAATTACTTTTTGAACAAAAAAGATTTAGAATTAACCCATAAAACATATCCAATAAGTTATTTTAATACATCGAACAATAGTACCAACCCAACCCAAAAATAAATCCAAATTTTAATGTTTTTGACAGTTTTCGGTTGTAACTTATTAATTATGAATGATGAAGAATTACTTTTTAAATAAAAAACATTTAGAATTAACTCATAAAACGTATTGCGTAAAAATATTTATTCCATCAATCACTATTACCAACCCAACTTAAGAAAAATTGAAATATGACGTTTTCAACAATTTTCTTGTATAACTCAATAATTATAACCGATGGAAAAAAACATTTCATACAAAAAAGGTTTAGAATTAACCCATAAAATATATCCAATAAGTTATTTTAATCCATCGGTCAGTAGTACCAACCCAACCCAAAAATAAATTCAAATTTCAATGTTTTTGACAGTTTTCGGTTATAACTTTTTAATTATGAATGATGGAGAATTACTTTTTAAACAAAAAACGTTTAGAATTAACTCATAAAACGTATAGCATAGAGATATTTATTCCATCAATCAGTATTACCAACCCAACTTAAAAAAAATTTAAATTTGACGTTTTCAGCAATTTTCTTGTATAACTCAATAACTATAACCGATGGAAAAAAACATTTCATACAAAAAAGGTTTAGAATTAACCCATAAAATATACCCAATAAGTTATTTTAATCCATCGGTCAGTAGTACCAACCCAACCTAAAAATAAATTCAAATTTTAATATTTTTGACAGTTTTCGGTCATAACTTATTAATTATGAATGATGGAGAATTACTTTTTAAACAAAAAACGTTTAGAATTAACTCATAAAACGTATTGCATAAAGATATTTATTCTATGGATCAGTATTACCAACCCAACGTAAGAAAAATAGAAATTTTGATGTATTCAACAATTCTCTTGTATAACTTAATAATTATAAACGATGGAAAAAAACATTTTGTTTTATGGGTTAAAACATATCCAATAAGTTATTTCAATTCATCGGTCAGTAGTACCAACCCAACCCAAAAAAAAACCAAATTTTAATGTTTTTGACAGACGAGGGCAACTGAATAATATACCAGCTTAACCTGTCATTACATAAATTAAAATTGGCTACAAGTCACGTAATATCACAACTGCAAGTATGGAAGATAGACACACAGCATTAAACTTACAAAATAAAATAAATAGTATTATAAATGAGTGAGAAATTAATGATAAATGTGTTTCCAACAATGTCTCTGAATAGAATGACGTAAATCCAAATTTTAAACTCTCTACATGAAGTCAACATTTCAAAAAAGTAAAAGTCGTCATCTACATTAATGACCCAATGTCATCAACTTGAACTGGTTCCATAAAATGTTACTAAAATCTCATTGCAGCATCGGATGATGTAAGGAGTCTCATTACAGCACCCGTTTGAGTACATTTTTATTTATTTTTATGATAAAATGAAGATATGTATGTGGTGCTTTGGTGTGTATTAAAACGTGATAAAAGCTAATGAGACGTGATATACGATAATAAAGCGTTATTAAATGATTCTTTAACGATTATATGATTAATAAACGATATTTAATGAATAAATTATTTATATTTCTCGGTTGGTTAAAAAAATAATTAATATTTATTTGGAAAAAAAAATCACCATTTTTGTGTTGGTAATAATTTTTCGTTTGACATATAAAATAGGTTATGTTTTATGTTTGACCCTTAAAATAGGTTATGTTTTGATTTTGTAGTTTATGATAATAAAATTAATAAAAAAATAATAATAATCAAATTGAAATTATCCTTAGATAATTAATTACTAGTGGCTAGTATGTTTAAAATGATCTTTTTCGTAATATATAGCACATTCATGGTAAAATCAAGATATGTGGTGCTTTGGTGTGGATTAAAATGTGATAAAAGCTAATATGAGAAGTGATATACGATAATAAAGCGTTATTAAGTGATTCTTTAATTATTAATAAATGTTATTTAATGAATAAATTATTTTAATACTTAGGTTGGTTAAAAAAAATCACCATTTTTGTGTTGGTAATAATTTCCGTTTGACATATAAAATAGGTTGTTTAATATAAAAAAATTAATAAAAATACTTATGAGAAATGATATACGATAATAATATGCGTTATTAAGTGATTCTTTAATAATTAATAGCCGTTATTTAATTATAATGCTTTATAATTATTAATGCTTAGGTTGGTTAAAAAAAAATCACCATTTTTGTGTTGGTAATAACTTTTCATTTGACATTTAAAATAGGTTACGTTTCATTTTTGATGTTTAAAATAAGACTGATTGTATCCCGAAATAATTTACTATAATAATAATTAAACTAACAATTTTATTATTAATAGTGGAAATAAGAAACAGCAACCACAATTATTACCAGTATTATTTTTTTAATTTAAAAAGTATAAATTCCAATTCGTGTTATATTTTTAAATTTCCCGCTAAGAATTGACATTAAGTGAATGAAAATGTCACTAAGTTGTCACTAAAGTAATTTTTCGGTAAGAGTATAATAAAGTAATAATGGTAAGATTAATTAATTTGATTATAATTGACATTATGCCACTATGTGGCTCCAAACAGTTATTTTGTGGTTGGAGCTTTTATATATAAACCCAATCCAACCTGTATTTTAGTGGTTCGCTTCTTAGCTGAATAATTTCAAAATATTCCCAAGAGGTGGCGCCACATGCGTTCAATTTTTAGTACTTTTTTTTTAGAGTTATCTTTCAATTTTGTACTTTAATATAATAGTTATTTATTCAAATATTAAGTTTGTTCAAAACTTTTAATTTAGAAAAAAAAATAGCTAATAATTAGTTAACTTCTATAGATACCTATGATAATAATAAAAAAATAAAAAAAGTGAGGTTAAGTTACCCTTTTTTCGACGGATTCGCTCCATAAACCAACAAAGTGCTTGATAATAACTCATGCCCATATTGAGCAGCAATATGCAAAGCTGTACAACCATTTTTATCAATCGAATCAACAATGGCCCCTTTAAAACACAAATTAATCAATAAAAAAAAAATTAAATAACTTCTTTTTAGTACCATTATCAATTAAAGTTTTACTCCTTGTAAATCTTCCATGAATCGCCGTCATATGCAAGGCGGTTCTTCCATCACAACTTTGCCTATTAATATTAACCCCTAATCCCACCAACATATTCAAACAATGCACCCCGTGCGTACTCGCCGCTGCGATATGTAGCGGGGTTTGACCCCGATAATTTAAAGTTTCCCGATCGGCGTCGTGTCGAATCAGTTCTTGAGCACACGCTCCGTGTCCGTTTAAGCATGCAATGTGTAAAGCGGTGTTTCCATAAGCGTTTTGAGCCTCGATGTTGGCTCCGTGAGTCAATAAAGTTTGAATAACACCTACGCTGCCTAAAAAAAATTAATTAAAAAAGATTGTTTGAGTTTATTCGGGGGAAATTCACCACTTGCAGCTGCTACATGCAAGGGGGTATACAAATTTCTGTCTTTTGCGTTGATATCGGCTCCATTTTGTAATAAAATTTCGATGGTTTCTATGTGACCTTTATGAGCAGCCCAATGAATCGGCCTAAAATTAATTGTTTATTAAATTTATTGTTTATTAAGTTATGAATTATGTACCGGCAGTCTTTTTTATCGCAAGCATTTACAATGCACCCCTTTGAAATAAGCAATTCAACGATATCGTTGTGACCGTTAAGCACGGCGTGATGTAAAGCAGTTCGTCCTGATCTATCCGTAACATTAGGATTTTGAACCCTCTCCAATAAATGTTGAAGGCATTCCAGGGAGTTATAAGCGGAAGCTACGTGTAATGGGGTTTGCCATAATCGGTCCCTCGCGCCAGTATCAGCTTGGTTTTTTAATAAAATACAAACAGTTTCCTAAGGAAACGATTTAAATTAAAAGAGTAAGAGGTAAATAAAAAAAAACTTACTTCTGATCCTGAACAACAAGCGCGATGTAACGGAGTAACCCATCGACAATCCTTTGTGTTCACCCTAGCTCCATGTTCGATTAACAATTCAGTCATAGGAGCATCCCCTCGATAAGAAGACGCGTGTAAAGCACTTCTTTTCTCAAAATCTACATTAAAAAAAAATAAAAATTAAAACATAACCTAAAATTTTTTTAAAATCACCTTGATAATTAACGTCTTGTTTTGATTCGAGTAGTTTCCTAACCGTCTCTATTTCGCCGGCGAAAACGGCTTGGATGAGCAGCGGCTGTAAATAAAATTAAAAAAGGGGTACAAAAAGATCATAACCTCAATGTTGCGGGTCACCCACTTGCTCGTCCAATTGCAAAATGACCATTGCGAAGGCGGAGAATTTCGCATCACATCCGAATCGGAGGCTTCGCGGATTATAATCGATTTCTTTAACCACCGTGGGGCCCCAAAATGAAAAAACGTTAGCGCATCGCCGAAACACGTAGTTGTCAAAAAGTGTGCCGGACCAAAACAAAAGTGACAACAACGTTGTTGCGCTCCATCTAGCGGAGTATTAATTATTTATTTTTCGATTAAAATAATTAATTAAAATTTTGTTGTTAATTAATAATAAATTAAGAAATAAATTAATTAATTCGTTCTGTAAAGAAAGAATTTGTTTCATAAAGGAGAAAAAAAGTTGGTGTTGTCACAAATGTGACAATTGCATTATGCGCTCCATCTAGCGGAATATTAATTAAGTAATTTAATTATTTATTTTTCGATTAAAATAATTAATTAAAATGTTGCTATTGATTAATAATAAATTAAGAAATAAATAAATTTAATTGGTTCTGTAAAGAAAGAATTTGTTTCATAAAAGAGAAAAAAAGTTGAGGTTGTCACAAAAATGACAACTGTATTATGCGCTCCATCTAGCGGAGTATTAAAGAAGTAATTTAATTATTTATTTTTCGACTAAAATAAATAATTAAATTGTTATTAATAATAATTTAAGAAATAAATAAAAAAAATTAAAGTTAAGAGTACATCAAAATGATAAATACCTCCTCTGACGAGTTGCCACTGCAAAAGATTTGCTTTTTATTGCTTAAAAATTAAAAAATTTTTTTGCGTATTGAATATATCTGCATTACACTATAGTCTTTTTACTATACTTTATCTGCAAAATGAAACAAAAATGATAGGAAATAGAAAATTGTAAAAATCGTAATTACACTATAGTCCAGGGGTGGGCAAGCTCCTTGAAATACGTATTAAAAAGGTATGTAAGTTTAAAAAGGGAACTAAAAATAATAAAAAAAGGAACTTGGTACATTTATCGAGAGCCACAAATAATTATAATTAATTATATTTTTAGTAAAAACCTATTTAGTAAACCTCTAGTGGGCAATAGCTGTATTAAACGTCTCTTTTGCACACACAACACAGACACAACCGCTTTACCATTTTACCCAAAATACAATTTTTGTATAAAAAAATAATTATTTTAACACTTACGATGCTTATTACTTTGAATTCTTAAAATTCCCATTTGAAAATGTTTCTCCATTCGCAAATTTTTTCGTTAACAAAGTATTCACTAAAATAAAAAACATTAATATACTTAATACATTGAGGTCTTATATATAATATAATATATATAAGACCTCAATGACTTAATACAAGATACAAAAAAATATTCACCTTTAATAACCTCTCTTTCTGTGTTTCCATAAAAAATAGCTTCATAGAAATGCAACTCTCAAACAAAAACTTCCTACTAAAAATTGAACGCATGTGGCGCCATCTGTTGGGGATATTTTGGAATTATTCAGCTAAGAACCGAACCACTAGAATACAGGTTGGATTGGGTTTATATATATAAGCTCCAACCACAGAATAACTGTTTGGAAAGTGTTCTGTGGCTCCAATTAACGTTCCGACTGGTTGGGAATTCCTCAGATGCAATTACCTATGGCAATTACACCTGTCAAATAATGCCGCCGTAATTTATTTATTTTTCGACTAAAATAATTAATTAAATTGTTATTAATAACAATTTAAGAAATAAATAAATAAATTTTTAAATTGATTCTGTAAAGAAAGAATTTAATTGTTACATAAAGGAGAAAAAAGTTGAGGTTATGTTGCAACATAACCTCAAAAAAGAAAAGATTTAATAACTTTTATATTATAAATTTTATAACAAAATACAATTTTTGTATAAAAAAATAATAATTTTAACACTTACGATGGTTATTACTTTGAATTCATAAAATTTCCATTTGATAATATTTCCTCACTCCTTAATTTGTTTGTTAAAAACGTATTTACTAAAATAAAAACATTAATACATTTAATACAAAACAATAATTAAAAAATCCACTTATAATAACCTCTCGGTTCTGTTTTTCTAACTCCTCAAATCTATCTTTAGCTCTAAAAAGATCCTACCTTAACTGTCACAATTTTTCTTCATCATACATCCTTTTATATTCTTCAAATTTTTTATTAATGTATGTATTTTAATTGTCCAGTTTGATCTTTTTGATTCGAACAGTTTCCTAACCGTGTCTATTTCGCCGAAAACGGCTTGGATGAGCATCGGCTGTAAATAAAGATAAAAACGGGGTACAAAAAAATCATAACCTCAACATTGCGGGTCACCCACTTGCTCGTCTAATTGCAAAATGATCATTGCGAAGGTGGAGAATTTCGTATCACATCCGAATCGGAGGCTTCGATTTATTTAACCACCGTGGGGGCCCCAAAATGAAAAACCCGTTAGGGAATCGCAGAAATACGAAGTTGTCAAAAAATGACAAGTATATTCGTTGTTGCGCTCCATCTAGCGGAGTGTTAAATAAGTAATTTAATTATTTATTTTTCGATTAAAATAAATAATTAAAATGTTGCTATTGATTAATAACTTAACAAATAAATCTTTAAATTAATTGCTTCTGTAAAAAAGAATTTAATTATTTCATAAAGGAGAAAAAAGTTGAGGTTATGTTGCAACATAACCTCAAAAAAAAAATTTATATATTTTATATTATAAATGTTAACAAAATACAATTTTTGTGTAAAAAAAATAATTATTTTAACACNTCAAAAATCCACTTATAATAACCTCTCAGTTCTGTTTTTCTAACTCCTCAAATCTATCTTTAGCTCTAAAAAGATCCTACCTTAACTGTCACAATTTTTCTTCATCATACATCCTTTTATATTCTTCAAATTTTTTATTAATGTATGTATTTTAATTGTCCAGTTTGATCTTTTTGATTCGAACAGTTTCCTAACCGTGTCTATTTCGCCGAAAACGGCTTGGATGAGCATCGGCTGTAAATAAAGATAAAAACGGGGTACAAAAAAATCATAACCTCAACATTGCGGGTCACCCACTTGCTCGTCTAATTGCAAAATGATCATTGCGAAGGTGGAGAATTTCGTATCACATCCGAATCGGAGGCTTCACGAATGACAATCGATTTATTTAACCACCGTGGGGCCACAAAATGTAAAAAACGTTAGCGATTCGAAGCAACACGAAGTTGTTTAAAAAAAAAAACGATAACTGTATCGCTGTTGCGCTCCATCTAGCGGAGTATTAATTAAGTAATTTAATTATTTTTTTCGATTAAAATAATTAATTAAAATATTGTTATTGATTAATAATTTAAGAAATAAATAAATAAATTAGTTGGTTCTGTAAAGAAATTAATTGTTTCATTAAGGAGAAAAAAATTGAGGTTATGTTGCAACATAACCTAAAAAAAAATGTTATAGTTTTTATATTATAAATTTTAACAAAATACAATTCTTGAATAAAAAAAAATAATTATTTTAACACTTACGATGCTTTTTTAAATTTCCGTTTGAAAATATTTCCCCATTCGCTAATTTTTTATTAAAAGGGTATTTACTAAAATAAAAACATTAATACATTTAATACAAAACAATAATTAAAAAATCCACTTTTAATAACCTCTCCGTTCTGTTTTTCTAACTCTTCGAGTCTATCTTTAGATTTAAAAAGATCCGATCTTAAGCGACACAATTTTTCTTCGTTATACATCTTTTTATACTCTTCAAATTGTTTATTAATGTATGTATTTTAATCGCCCAGTTTAATCTTTTTGATTCGAATAGTTTCCTAACCGTGTTTATTTCGCCGGTGAAAATAGCTTGGATGAGCATCGGCTGTAATAAAGATAAAAACGGGGTACAAAAAGATCATAACCTCAATATTGCGGGTCACCTACTTGCTCGTCTAATTGCAAAATGATCATTGCGAAGGTGGAGAATTTCGTATCACATCCGAATACGAGGTTTCGTGAATGATAATCGATTTATTTAACCACCGTGGGGCCCCAAAATGTAAAAAACGTTAGGGATTCGCAGCAACACGAAGTTGTCAAAAAAAAGATAACTGTATCGTTGTTGCGCTCCATCTAGCGGAGTATTAATTAACTAATTTAATTATTTATTTTTTTTTTAATAAAATAATTAATTAAAATGTTGTTATTGATTAATAATTTAAGATATAAATAAATAAATTAATTGGTTCTGTAAAAAAAGAAATTAATTGTTTCATTAAGGAGAAAAAAATTGAGGTTATGTTGCAACATAACCTCAAAAAAAAAAGATTTAATAGATTTTATATTATAAATTTTAACAAAATACAATTTTTATATTATTTTAACACTTACGACTTTGAATTCATAAAATTCCCATTTGAAAATGTTTCCCCACTCGCTAATTTTTTCGTTAAAAGCGTATTTACTAAAATAAAAACATTTTAATACAAAAAAAAAAAAAAAATAGCATAATATTCACTTTTAATAGCCTCTCGGTTTTGTTTTTCTAACTCCTCGAGTCTATCTTTAGCTTTAAAAAGATCCGATCTTAACTGACACAATTTTTCTTCATTATACATCTTTTTATACTCCTCAAATTGTTTATTAATGTATTTTAATTGCCCCATTTGATCTTCAACCGTTTTCTCTTGGGCTGTTACAAGTTTTTTTAATTGATCAATCTAAAAAGATTACTTTAAAACCAATTTTTTTGAATTAATCATCTTAAAATAACCTCTTTACACATAAAATCGTTTTGATTAGTAAAATTAACCAACATTGTGTTAGCTTGTACTAAATCCCGGGCTATTTCATCGTTTGTTTTATCTTTTTGAGCAATTATTTTAGTCGCTTCTAAATTATCGCGTCTTAATTCATTCTATAAAGAGTAAAAATTAATTTATGACACAAAAAAAATGATTATTCTTACTAATGTAGACGTTAAATTATCAATTTCCTTCATTTTGGTCATTATTTCGTGTTGTTGATCGCCCAAAATTTTCTCTTTTTGATTTTTGTTAAGACTCAAAGTGTTAATTTCATTTCGTAACTCCTCGATTAATCGGAATTGTTTTAAATTATCCCCTTTTGTTTTATCTAAATCGAGTAACGTTTGGGAGTATAAAGTTTCTTTAAATCGGGAACCTCTCTTTAAAATATCAACATCCTTTAAGATCTTTAAATGTTTTCGAAACATAACATCCATTTTCGTCGAAAAAATATTCTCAATTCCCATCAAATTGTTCATAAAAGTTTCTTCGATACATTTAACATCTTGAAAAAATCGCTTTTCTAAGTGATGATTCGTAGTTAAAGCCGTATCGAGTAAAACTTTTTGTTCGTTAATTTGATTTTTCAACGAGGATATTTGAGAATTCACCCCGTGATTAATTTCCTTTAATTGTGTTATATTTAAAGACATCTCATCAATAATCTCTTTTTGATTGGTTAAATTGAAATGGATAATTAGAAAGATTAACGATTTTATTCGACTCCTTTCGTAAAAAATCATTTTACAAGTTGTTTCGTTACATTCAACTCTTAGCAACATCTCTCTGCGTAACGTTAATTTTAATAACTCGATTAATTGCGTGTGGAATTCTTCGTAACATATCTCCAAACATTGATCGCTCTTCATTGTCTCAAAAGTACTCCAATCAACGCTCGACGTAAAATTGAACGAAAAATCGTTTATATCTCTCAATTTGATTTGCTGGGGAATTATTATTACTAAATTAAGCTTAATAAGGCGGGGAAAAATCGTTTTTTCTTACCAAGTATTGGGAGAACCTCGAAATTTTTATTAAAACGTTTTTAACCTCTGCATTACCGTTCTTATTTAATACATCAATTGAGTGGGTTTGATTGTAGAGGAAATTATCACCCGATGACATCGTTTAACTCAATATTTTAATAAAATTTCTTTTAAAACGTGGAAAAATAATTCGTTTTTGACGTTTATTATTTTTTTTTTGAGGTTATGTTGCAATTTGAATTTAGGGAATTTTTTTTTCATAATTAAATTACAACCTAAATTGATTTTGCTCAAAAATCATTTGCAAATCGCTTATAATAATCGATATATAATCAATAAATATTTATATTTATCAATAAATTTTAAATTATTAAAAAAAAATGTATTAAAAAATTGAACGCATGTGGCGCCATCTGTTGGAGATATTTTGAAATTATTCAGCTAAGAACCAAACCATTGGTATACAGGTTGGATTGAGTATACAGAATGATACAAAATTTTAGCAACAGTTTATGATTGGATTAACAAATTTTCTACAAACGTGTTTTTCTTAAAAACTATTGCGTTGATCAAAATTTTGTAAGATAATTGATAATGTTTAATTTTAAAGAAACTTTGACCCGCTATATCTCGTTAAGGAGGCATTTGCGACGCCATATATATATCAAGACTTTTCATCTTAATTTTTGATGTATTACCTGCCCTAGAAGTCCGTCAGCGGTTTTTTGAATCACCCTGTATACATAAAAGCTCCATCCACAGAATAACTGTTTGGAGCCAATGTATCCGGCGGATATATGGCAAAAAGTCCTCTTGTACTGGTAGATGGACTGCGTTCTATCGACTGAAGAATTTGTTCAACTTCATTCAGAATTTGTACGCCTACACGTTCTTCAAGTTCAAAGAACAACTAGAGTAGTTCCGTGGTTTTCTCAAACTATGGATATTGTTACTGATATTCCAGACATCTCCATAACGTCTGAGGTCTTGTCAAAATAGTAACAAATGTCATTAGTAACATTTTCTTGAAGTTTTATTTATTAGTTTATTCATAATAATTGTGCTTCATCGTTGTGATTCCAGTATTGTTTTTGAAGTCTAGAAACTAACTAAAGTACTTCTAGACTATATATAGACTTCTTCGTCATGTCTGGCTTCTTGTAGTAAATATTTCATTATCTCTAATACATTAAATATGAAAAAAAAAATCCTTGGGCACTTCCCATTTGGTTGGGGTAACCAATTTCCATTGGATTTTTGCTTGGATAGAATTTCTGATCAACTTAGTTTGCACCGCATCCCATTCGTCATCACTTATAAATAGTAATTTCCATGATTTTTTGCAAATTTTGGATTTAAGTAGTTTAATTATAACTGCAGCCGATTTCTCATCATGTCTAAAACACCAAATAATACAAAAAAAATACTTCTGCCATATTTTATTTCATTATAAAACTAGTTTTCCAATATTTTTAGCAAACCTTGGGTTGATCAGAATCTTTAATCAATTTATTTTGAGTTGCAGCAGATTTCTCATCATATTGAACACAGCAAATATTGAAAAAGATGCTTCTGACATTTCCTATTTCATTGCAAAACTGGTTTTCCCAGATTTTTTGCAAATTTTGGAGTCTTTAATCAATTTAATTTTAAATTGCAGCAGATTTCTCATCATCTCTAATACATCAAGTATAAAAAAATTATTGGGCACTTTCCATTTGGTTAAGAATACCGATTTCCATCAAATTTTTGCATTTTTTGCTTGAACAGACTTTCTGACCAACTTAATGCAGTCTTCAATCTTATTATTGCAATTCTAGCCTTCTTCGTCATATCTGGCTTCTTGCCAAAGTAATAATTGCACACTTCATCGTGAAGTTAAAAATAGTTTTCTTGCAATTTTGAATTCTTCCTTGTGATTTTTGAAGTTTCAAATCTGGTCAGTCGTTATCATTATCTTGCTGCCAACCTGGTCATTGTAATCGCAGCCTTGTTCTTAAAGCTTACTTCTTCCTCCTGCTTGGTTGCTTAAAAATGATTCTAGTTCTAGGTATAGCGTTAGTTCTACATAGCAACAGTGCTAGTGTAAGTCGATAAAAATTAACTACTTTCGAAGGAGTAACTAAAAAAGAATCGATTCATGAAGAATAAGCACAATTAAACACTTAATTATTATAAAAATGATAAACGCGAAAAGAAACCGTTTCTGTCAAAAAATTGAAATGACAGGAAGGGATGCCAACCTCAATTTTATCCAAATCAAAAAATAACTAATTTTCTGACAAAAAAATATTAATGATAAAATTATTGATTTAAAATTAAATTGTTATTAAGTTAAACAATTGGAGTAATCTTTATATGAATAAACCAAAAAATTTTGATAAACATTTTTAACTTCAACACATGATTAATTTAAACAAAGATTACTTCAAAAAAGAATTTTGACTTGATAAAAGCTAATTACATACCAAGGAGTGACTAAAACGGAATGGATTCTTGATGAATAAGCACAATTAAACACTTAATTGTTATAAAAATGATAAGAAATTAATGAAAACGCGAACAGCAAAGGATTGTCAATAAATCGAAATGAAAGGAAGGGATGCCAATCTCAATTTTATCTAAATCTAAAACTAACTAATTTTCTAAGAAATATTAATAATAAAATCATTGTAAGGTATCATCTATGTTGCATATTTTTATTGAACTCAAACTGGAACTAACAACTAGAAAGTTTCGGGTTCCTTTTAAAACGTGGAAAATAAATTCGTTTTTGACGTTTATTTTTTTTTGTCAAATAGAATTTAGGGAATTTTTAGTTTATTTTTTCCCAATAAAATTACAACCCAAATTAAAAAATTATTGCAAAACGTTTGTATTAATCGATATATAATCAATAAATATTTATATTTACCAATAATTTTTTTTAATATTTTTAATTTTTAATTATTAATCATTTTTGTTTTATGAACCTTTAAGTTGGCCAACCTTTATTTACAATCAATTTCAGTTACTTGGTGCCGAATTTTCCACATAAATATTGATAAAACAATCAAATAATATGGCAGTAAGTAAATTTCAGATAATTCCTTAAAAACTCATAAATACAACTCAAAAAATCATTCCTAATAACATCACAAACCCACAAAACACGTCCTTAATAAAATTCTAACCTCACTTTTTAGGCGGCGGCAGCAGCGAAAGTTCAAGAAGTACGCGAAATAACGCGCATCGAACGTATTGGGGCCCATTCCCACATCCGTGGGTTAGGATTAGACGATGCCCTTGAAGCTAGACATGTAAGTAATCCCAAAATAAAATTTGGGCGATTTTATAGGTTATGTTTTTTTAGGTTTCGCAAGGAATGGTGGGGCAAATGTCCGCCCGGAGGGCCGTTGGAGTTGTTTTACAAATGGTTCGTGATGGTAAAATCGCCGGGAGGGCTGTTTTATTAGCCGGACAACCAGGAACTGGAAAAACGGCAATCGCAACAGCTTTAGCTTCCGCTTTAGGCGTTGATACCCCGTTTACAAGCATGGCTGGGTCAGAAATTTATTCCTTAGAAATGAGTAAATGCGAAGCTTTAACACAAGCTATTAGAAAAAGTATTGGGGTTAGAATTAAGTGAGTAAAAATAAATTTTTTTGATTATCAAGGTTGCCAGATAAATCGTGAGATCTCACGATTTTATTACAATAATAATAATATTATTGTTGTAATAAATAATAATAATAATTATTATATTACAATAATTAGTGTTAATAAAATCAAAAACATTTTCAACTCGAATTGTAGGTCACTGTAAATTTCTCTATTGGTTACATCTTTTCGCCGCTAGATGGCGCTAAAATTAAACTGTCATATTTTATTTCCTTTTAATTATATTTACTATTTTACTTGAATTCTATGCCTATATCTAACATATTATTAAAATTGAGTGATTTTTAAACAAATTTCAACATCTCACGATTTTTTATGCCATAGCAACCCTGTTGATTATAATGATATTAATAAGAAATAATTATTTAAAGAGAGGAGAGTGAAATAATCGAAGGAGAAGTAATCGAAGTCCAAATTGAACGCCCCGCAACTGGAGAAGGCACAAAAGTGGGAAAATTAATTTTAAAAACCACTGATATGGAGACAGTTTATGATTTAGGCGGGAAAATGATTGATAGCATCTTAAAAGAAAAGGTCCAATCAGGTGATGTAATCACCATTGATAAAGCAACTGGGAAAATCACTCGATTAGGGCGCTCTTTTACGAGAGCCCGCGATTATGACGCAACTGGCCAACAAACGCGATTTGTTCAATGTCCTGAGGGAGAGCTCCAAAAACGTAAAGAAGTGGTCCATACAGTAACATTACACGAAATCGATGTTATCAACAGCAGAGCTCACGGATTTTTAGCGTTATTTTCCGGAGATACGGGTGAAATTAAAACGGAAGTGCGAGAACAAATTAATGGAAAAGTCGCGGAATGGCGTGAAGAAGGAAAAGCGGAAATAATCCCCGGAGTTTTATTTATTGACGAAGTTCATATGTTAGATATGGAATGTTTTTCATTTCTAAATCGTGCCTTAGAAAACGAAATGTCCCCAATTGTAATCATGGCGACAAACAGAGGGATTACAAAAATTCGAGGTACTAATTATAAATCACCGCATGGAATTCCTTTGGATTTATTAGATCGATTAATTATCGTCCCAACTTCGCCATACACCGAAAAAGAATTAAAAGAAATTTTGAGTATTCGTTGCGAAGAAGAGGATTGCCAATTATCTGATGAGGCCTTGTTGATTTTAACGAGAATCGCAATGGAATCGTCTCTTCGATATGGAATTCAATTGATTACAACGTCTAGTTTGATTGCGAGGCGTCGAAAAGCCCCCGAAGTCCAAGTCGACGATATTAAACGAGCTTATGAGTTATTTTTGGATGAGCAAAGATCTGTGCAGTTCTTGAAAGAATACCAACAAGAATTTTTGTTTAATGATGATGAAGATTTAGAAAAAATGGATACTAATTGATGGATGAATTTGTTTTAATCTTAGTATTTTTTTTTTCTTTTTATTTCACGATTTAGTGTGTAAGGATTGTTTTATAATACACATTTCATAATTAAATAATGATAAATAAAAATTTAAAGCATTTGAATTTAAGCCTATTTTTTTCAATTTTTGAGACACATATTAAGTCAAATTTCTTCAAGTTAGGTGCAGATTATTGATATTAAGTCCTGTATTAAACAGCATCAAATAGTCACTAATACTCTTTGGCTATAAAAGATATCCAACATTTGGGTATTATGTCCAGTAAATGATCTTTAATGTATTAAATACCAAACAAATTTACTTTAAATTGATTATTTCGTATCTGGGTTGGTACTACTGACCGATGGATTTAAATAACTTATTGTATATGTTTTATGGGTTAATTATAAACCTTTTTTGTATGGAATGTTTTTTTCCATCGGTTATAATTAATGAGTAATACAAGAGAATTGTTAAAAATGTCAATATTTATATTTCTCTTAGGTTGGGTTGGTACTACTGATAGGTGGATTAAAATAACTTATTGGATATGTTTTATGGGTTAATTCTAAACCTTTTTTGTATGAAATGTTTTTTTCCATCGGTTATAATTATTGAGTTATACAAGAAAATTGTTGAAAACGTCAAATTTCAATTTTTTTTAAGTTGGGTTGGTAATACTGATTGATGGAATAAATATCTTTATGCTATACGTTTTATGAGTTAATTCTAAACGTTTTTTGTTTAAAAAGTAATTCTCCATCATTCATAATTAATAAGTTATAACCGAAAACTGTCAAAAACATTGAAATTTGGATTTATTTTTGGGTTGGGTTGGTACTACTGACCGATGGATTAAAATAACTTATTGGATATGTTTTATGGGTTAATTCTAAACCTTTTTTGTATGAAATGTTTTTTTCCATCGGTTATAGTTATTGAGTTATACAAGAAAATTGTTGAAAACGTCAAATTTCAATTTTTTTTAAGTTGGGTTGGTAATACTGATTGATGGAATAAATATCTTTATGCAATACGTTTTATGAGTTAATTCTAAACGTTTTTTGTTTAAAAAGTAATTCTCCATCATTCATAATTAATAAGTTATAACCGAAAACTGTCAAAAACGTTAAAATTTGGATTTATTTTTGGGTTGGGTTGGTACTATTGTTCGATGGATTAAAATAACTTATTGTATATGTTTTATGGGTTAATTCTAAACCTATTTTGTATGAAATGTTTTTTTCCATCGGTTATAATTATTGAGTTATACAAGAAAATTGTTGAAAACGTCAAAATTACTACTTTTTTTACGTTGGGCTGGTAACACTCATTGATGGAATTAATATCTTTATGCAATATGTTTTATGAGTTAATTCTAAACGTTTTTTGCTTAAAAAGTAATTCTTCATCATACATAATTAATAAGTTATAACCGAAAACTGTCAAAAACGTTAAAATTTGGAGTTATTTTTGGGTTGGGTTGGTACTATTGTTCGATGGATTAAAATAACTTATTGGATATGGTTTATGGGTTAATTCTAAACCTATTTTGTATGAAATGTCTATTTCCATCTGTTTTAATAATTGAGTTATACAAGAAAATGATAGAAAACGTCAAATTTCAATTTTTCTTAAGTTGGGTTGGTAATACTGATTGATGGAATAAATATCTTTATGCAATACGTTTTATGAGTTAATTCTAAACGTTTTTTGTTTAAAAAGTAATTCTCCATCATTCATAATTAATAAGTTATGACCGAAAACTGTCAAAAACATTAGAATTTGGGTCTATTTTTTGGGTTGGGTTGGTACTATTGTTCGATGGATTAAAACAACTTATTGCATATGTTTTAATGGTTAATTCTAAACCTTTTTTGTACGAAATGTTTTTTTCCATCGGTTATAATTATTGAGTTATACAAGAGAATTGTTGAAAACGTCAAAATTTCTATTTTTCTTAAGTTGGGTTGGTAATACTGATTGATGGAATAAATATCTTTATGCAGTACGTTTTATGAGTTAATTGTAGACGTTTTTTGTTTAAAAAGTAATTCTCCATCATTCATAATTAATAAGTTATAACCGAAAATTGTCAAAAATATTAAAAATTGGTTTTATTTTTGGGTTGGGTTGGTACTACTGGTCGGTGGGTTAATATAACTTATTGGATATGTTTTATGGGTTGATTCTAAACCTTTTTTGTATGAAATGTATTGTATTTTTTTAATGGCATAGCAGAAGACGATCTAATCTCTGATCACCTTTTTGAAAGCATTCCAAGCTTCTCTTTCAACATCTGATACTGTGTACTAAAATTTCTCATCAAATATTAGTTTATGTATGTCAGAACAAATGAAGAAACTGTGTGCAGAGGTATTGAAAGCAGTCACCAATGTTGGGTAACACTTTGAGGAATTTTGCTGGGATTGACTAAAGCTTCGTGGAAAACGTTCTTTTCATTGGCCCCCATTTTTGTTGGGTTGGGTTTTTTAGTCCAGTGTTTACTCCTTGCTCTGCTATCCCATTCACAAATAAGACTTGGGTACCTCTTTCAAATTCTTGTAATTTTCTTTAGGTATACAGAATGCTCTAGACTTTAAAAGCATATGTGTTACCTTTGTGCAAGAGTACAGCCCTCAGGCTTCTTTTTGAAGAATCAATGAACAAAACCAGGAATGTCACATCAATAGACCAACTTGCCTTCTTGATTGAATTAGTCAGTAAATTTATGATCTCTAAATCTATACTGATAAAAAGATGTTCCAGCAGCCAGTAGCTTTTTTCCTTTTGGTCTAGAACCCAAGACTTCAGCATTCTCCTTGGTGAGTCTCTCACTGAATCATAATATGCAGGATCTTGGAAATCACAATCATCTTCAGTCACATCAGATTCACTAGAGCGCATCTAACCTAGAGTTGCTGGAAGCTGAGGTACAGGCACATCTGGCCCATCTCCTTTATTCTTAGAGTTATAGGGTCAGTTATAAGGGTCATGGAAATTTTTCATTATTTTTCTCGAATTCAGCACCCAAAAATCAAGAAAGATTGCCTTTTCAAGTAATCCTCCATCATTCATAATTAACAAGTTATAACCGAAAATTGTCAAAAACATTAAAATTTGGTTTTATTTTTGGGGTAGGGTGGTACTACTGACCGATGGATCAAAAATGTTATTGGATATGTTTTATGGGTTAATTCTAAATAACCCTGTTGATTTGAGAATCGCAATGGAATCATCATTTAAAGCGAATAAATATCGATTTAAGACTTCAGATTTCACATTTCCATGCATTTCCTGATAATTTCCAAGAAATATCAAGGATTTTGAAAGTTTCCAAGAATTATTAAAGGGCTCCAGAGACTTATTTGAGATGAATCAGCATTAACAAAAGCATTTTAAATCATTTCCGAGAAATTGACTAAGAAATTTAGAGATTTTTAAGCATTTCCGACTTTTTCCAAGAGCTGTCGAAAGGATTTTATGAATTAACGCGAATAAATGTCGATTTAACACTTTAGAGGATATCTAGAAGGTTTTCAACATACTTTCATGCAATTCCTAATAATTTCCAAGAAACGTCAAGGATTTTATAAGTTTCCAAGAACTGTCAAAGGGCTCCAGGGATTTATTTGAGATGAATCAGGGTTTTAAACCATTCCCAATTTATTTACGAACTTTTCCTTGGGAAGACTTTTAAGTATTTCCGAGCATTTCCAACAGCTGTCAAAGAGATTTTAAAATTTAACGGCGATGATTTTAACAGTTTTCGTTTACAACATTTTGGTGCTTTTTGCCTTTTGTTACCTTTATTAATTAATTATAGATGATATGAAATGGTTTCTAACAATAATTGAGTATCAAATCTCTAAATTAGTAGGAGCTAAACAGTCATATTAAGCTTTTAGGTTATTTTGATTTATAAAATTTTTTAAGTTGGTATCCATGAAATTCCCTAAAAAATTCTTTAACCCAACAAAACGGAAATTTCCCCCTAAAAATCGCTAAATAGCGCGTTTTATCGCGATAAGACGCGAAATAAGCGTTTATTAATCATCGAAAGATTATATTAACCTTTAAATAGCTTCCAAACACCGAAAAACGGGGTAAAATTTGATATTTTCCTAAACATAACCTCACTTTTTCACCGCCAAACATGGTAAATATTTTTAAGATGTAATTTTTAACGATTTTAATCGTTTATTTTTAGTCTCACACCATTTTGTTGGTGCAATCGGGTTCTAACCCGGAAACGAGGACGTATTCCGATTACGAATCGGTCAATGAATGCATGGAGGGTGTTTGTAAGATTTACGAGGAACATTTAAAGAGGCGAAATCCGAATACGCCGACGATAACTTACGATATATCTCAATTATTCGATTTTGTAGATCAGGTAATGATTAATTATTTGATGTAGAAATGATTTGATGAAGAGGATGTTTAATTTTTTAGCTATCGGATATAAGTTGTTTGGTTTATCAAAAATCGACGAACACTTATGCGCCTTATAATAAGGATTGGGTGAAAGAAAAAATTTATATCTTGTTACGACAGGCTGCAGAACACGCTGATTAAAACGAAATGGATAAATCGTTTAAGTAAAAAAGTCGTTCTTACCAATTTACTCTCTAATTTGGTTATTTGAAAAATAATTTTAGTTTTATTTTTTATTGAATAATTAATAATTTTCTTCTGTTAGTATTACAGTTTTCAAAATAAAGATATAAATAAAAATCGTTTGTTTATCTGTCAAAATTTCTGTCATTCATCAAACACCAAAATTTCCAGCGAAAAGACTCAAAGATGCCTCAAAAACTTAATCGAAAACTTGTAAGCGAGATATTTTCGAATTCTTGGCGTAAATTTCACTTTTTTTTTTAGAGAAACGTTAACGAAAGCTATTTAGAAGTAAATAAAGATCAATTGGACGAATTACCAAAATCAAAAACATCAGAAACTATTAAAAACAAATATTTACCGGCGACAACTCCCCAGAAACCCCCCGTAATTCGATTCAAACAAAAATCGTTATAAAATATTAATTTGAAACGTTTAGGTAACCCAATCAGCTCTTATATACGAAGCATCAGATAGAATTAAAGAAATGGCAGCGCCGAAACGACGCAAAGGAGGTGTAGATTTAGTTCCAGGGGCGGTTAAACCTACAGCGCTAAAACACCAAAGTAAGCGAATAAAAAGTTATTAAACTTAGAACTAGCCTAGTACCAGAAAAATTCGGGTTTAGCCGTGCGCCTAAAAATAATTTTCAACTTTAATTTTATTGTTATATTCGTAATCTTTATAAAATAACCTTTAAAATGAGCCCAAACATGACACATTTATCTCAAAAAACAAAAAAGTTAGAATAAAAAACAATAAACCTGAAGTTAACAACAATGATGATCTTTAAATATTAATACCAACCTTAATTTTTGATTTTTTTTTTAGTACATTTTTGTTTTAGTGACAAATTTTAATACATTTTATAAAAATTAAGAATTTATCAAAATGACATTGACAGTTTTGGCTTATTTTAAAGGATTTTTCACGCCGCTTACAGATATGTCAAAATTGAGGTTGACATTTCCAACTGGATACTGTGGATTGTGTATCCGAGTAAATATTATTGAACAAAAAAAACTTTCAGGTGTTAATGTCAAAAAAAAACAAAAAGTTAAACTTTTAATTTTGACATATTTGTCAACTTCATAAAAAATCCTTTAAAACGAGTCCAAACTCGACATATTTAACTTTAATATTAATGGAGATAGAATCACTTCCGGTTTGAAACGTCAACGTCAATTTTGACATATTTGTCATCTTCATTAAAGAACCTTTAAAATGAGTCCAAACATGACGCATTTATCTTAAAAAACAAAAAAGTTAGAATTAAAAACAATAAACCCGAAGATAGCAATTTAATTTTCAAATATTAATACCAACCTTAATTTTTAATTTTTTTTTATTATATTTGTTTTTGTGACAAATTGAACCCGTTTTATAAAAATTAAGAATTTATCAAAATGACATTGACATTTCAAACCGGAAGTTGCTTATATCTCGAGTAATATTTGAATTAAACGCATCATGTTTGGGCTCATTTTAAAGGATTTTTTACGACGATTACAAATATGTCAAAATTGAGGTTGACATTTCTAAGCGGAAGTTGACCATAACTTCATTAATATTGAAGATAAATATGTCGTGTTTGTACTCATTTTAAAGGATTTTTAATGAAGATTACAAATATGTCAAAATTGAGGTTGACATTTTACACCTGAAGTTAGTTATACAGGGTGAGTCGGGAGGAATGGACCAAACTTTAGGAGTGTATTGTACGCTTGAAAATAATGTTAAAAAACTCATATGTTGTTTTCCTATTTTAATTTTTTTTTATTTTCAACAAGAGCTTTTAGTAAACGAAGCCGGAAATGTTTAGAAGTTAATGGCGATATTTTCGAACAATTATTAAAATAACGCTGATAATCAATATTTAATGTTAGTGTATAAGATTTTGTTTAATTGTAGCTATGCAGTAAGAGTTATGCAATAAAATAAAAAAAAATCGGATAAGGATATTATTTTTTAGTGTACAATACACTCCTAAAGTTTGGTCTGTTCCTCCCAACTCACCCGGTCTAATAGACAAATAGACAACTTCATGGTGTTTTTTCATGATGTATTCTTTATTAAAAAACCTTTAAGATGAGTCCAAACATGATGCATTTATCTCAAAAAACGAAAAAGTTCGAACTTTCAAGTTTAATTATGACATATTTGTCAACTACATAAAAAATCCTTTAAAATGAGTCCAAACTCAACATATTTAACTTTAATATTAATGGAGATATGATCACTTCCGGTTTGAAACGTCAACGTCAATTTTGACATATTTGTCATCTTCATTAAAAAACCTTTAAAATGAGTCCAAACATGACGCACTTATCGTCATAAAATTAAAGTTGCATTTTCAACTTTGAAATCGCAATTTGATTTTTATTCGAAATTAGAATAGAGGAACTGAG